CACCACCCACGGATACCGAGTGCCAATCATGCACACGCCTCTGCATCACCCCCATGATAAATGTTCGTGCAGCAGCGCGCGCTCGGAGCTTTCCGTACACCGCCACACGAGCGCATAGCAAAGGGACAAAGGCCCGCTGAGGGAGATCGCTGTATGCTGTGAGCAAGGGGTGAGGAATACATATATCCACGAGGGGTTGAAGGGGGTGTGCATATAGCTTTTCGAAGCCCGACCCGCAGGCTCATCGATTCCCGCCTGTCCAACCTCCGCCTCCCTTCATGACTTCGACCATGGCTTCCCCTACTCCACCATCCCCCACCAAGCCTTCGGTCCACTCTACTCCTCTCTCTTCACCACCCACGGATACCGAGTGCCAATCATGCACCCCTCGTCCATATGTCGATCGCATCCGATCGCCCTCTCACATCCTCCTCGCTATCCGTCTTCTCTTCACCGACTCACAACGGCAACGCGATCTGCTCACCAACTGGCTCCATGTCCCCATCGGTATTACTGCGCTGCTCGTGCTGGTATGGGCGATCAAGCTCGGCATGGACCGTGCACCCTTCCGCTTCCCCAGCCCCGTCATCGCCATGCTTCTCCTCTTTGCGCTGCTCCTCCTCGCCGACTATTTCTCCACCCGCTTCCTCGCGCGCAAGAACGGCAAGAAAGTGTTGCTCGCTCCACTGCTGGCGCTGCTCGAGGCGCCGTGTGACTTTTGCCTCCGCTACATGTCGGTCATGTTCACGCCGAGCTTCATCCTCATCCCCGCGCGCGAGATCATCGCCGCGCGCGAAATCGGCCTCATCACCGGCTGGTTCGCCGCCTCCCAGTTCGCCGCCCTTGCCTTCCCCGTCATCCTCCACAAGCTCGGCCGCTGGGCGATAGCCAGCGCCAAGCACCGACTCGCCAGCAAAAAGGTAGACGAAGAGGGAAGGAGAACGAGCGAGGCGACGCTCGTAGGGGTTCTGTCTCACACGCTGTCGGTGGGAGAAAAGCCAAGTTTGGCCAAGGGCTTAACGGGCGTGACTGCAGTCGTCACCGCTCCCGTAGCAGCAGTAGCAGCAGGGGTGGGAGATGCGGAGAGACAGTTGACGCACGTGCAGCTCGAGACTGCAAGGCAGCAGGGAGATCCGTATGCCATGTCGCATTCGCCCGTGCGCGAGCATCACTATCCCTCGCCGCGCTTGGGTCACGATCATCCTGGCTTTGCAAGAAGCAGGTCGCTCGCAAGACGCTTCGACCGAGGCGTATCGCAGTCCCCACACAGAAGGGGCAGGAGCGGAAGACCGCAGAGCGCGGGTAACGAGGCGGTGTCGCCCACGTTTGACGAGTGGATCTTTAGCGCACGACAGACCAGGATCCAACAGCGACAGCTTGAACCGCTCGAGCACGAAGCAGACACCGTCGTGCCTACGCTCGCACCTCCAACTCCAGCAAGGATGAGTGCGGATTGTAGCCCGGGAGCTACGCGCAGGCCCAGTCGCGCAGACAGCGAAATCACCGTCAGCAACGATAGCCCACCCAACCAGCACGACTCCAAGTCCAAGGCCGAGCAACCACAGCAGTCCCAATCTTCGGAGGAAGAGGAAGAAGAGGAAGAGGAAGAGGAGAAGATGGATGCAGTCGACCGACTCGTCGAGCGACTTTGGTCCAGCATCCCGTGGCTCGTGACTCTGACTATCGTCGTTGCGGGGCTCCCCGTCTTCTACCTGGTCAACATCTCGCTGCCGCTCTTTCTGGGCATCAACATCCTGACGTTCCTATTCAGCATCACCATCGTCCCGCCACGCATGCGTCGATTCGCACACCCCATCCTCACCACCTCGATCCTCACCGTCCTCATTCTCTGGGGCCTTGGCGCTGCACGGGGCTGGACGCTCCGCCGCACTCTCTCAACGTACTCGGTGGACGCAAAGTACACGGTGCTCTGGTCGACATCCGGCTACACCGGTCCCGTGATCGGAGCAGGCGACGTGCTCTTCTCCACCCTCGATGCCGGTATTGTATCGCTGGCGATTCCGATGTATCGATACCGTCGAGACCTCTGGCTTCACCTCGTCGACATGCTAGCTGTGCTAGTGCCCTGTTCGATGCTATCGGTCTTTGTCTGGCCTACAGTGGCCGGGGCTATTGGAATCGCCCCCGAACGCGCCCTCGCCTTTGCGAGCCGGTTCATGTCCACCCCGCTCGCGATCGAGCTATCCCTCACCATCGGCGCGGACGAAAGCATGACAGTGATTCTCGTCGTCGTTACCGGCATCGTGATTACGATCGTCAAGGATCCCTTCTTCCGACTTTTCGGTCTCGACCCCAAGAACGACGGAGACGCCGGAAGCAAGGACTATCTCACCATCGGTATCGCCATGGGTAGCACCGCCGGCGCTATTGGTGCTAGCAGTTTGATTTCGACTCCGAGATGCATGGCTATTGCATCGTTGAGTTTTGTGCTGTTCGGTGCGATATTGCTCATTTTGGCCGCCATCCCACCCGTAGTGGATACGCTCAGAGTGCTCGTCGGCGCAAGCATCCAATTCACCCCCGCATCCTCGTAGAGATACGAAACACTTGCATATAGATGAAATGTCCATGGTGACTACCAAAGCGCCACCAGCAGATGCGCAAACATTTCGGTGCGAAAGTTCGTTTGGTGCGGTGGTCAACACAACAGTCGTCGAGACGTGCTCGGTTCTTGTTCGAGCTGGTATGTTGGTCATGAGCCACTGCACTTGCTCAGCCAGGCTGATTTTGCGGTGCTGCATGTTGTCTAGCTGGTGCTCGGATATGAGACTACCGTCCTCAGGCCTCGGACAACGCCCATGAGAAAGTGCTGAACCATCTGAAAGACGTGAGCGTTAACCGTGATCACTCTGTGTGCGTCGTTGCACTGCACCGTATGCTTCGCTTTTCGCTCGCAAAATCTCTACTTTGGATCGACCTGTGTTGCTCTGCCACTTGCTCAAAGTCTCGTCCGCTTTGCACCATCCACCATCGTTTTGCTCATCGCCCAACAGGGTCCTTGCCTTGAGGAGAGGGATTGGGATGCAATCCAGGCCGCGTCGAAAACAAGCTGTCTGTTGGCCAAGCACGGCGTGATTTTAGCTGAGCAGTTCGTTGAAACAGTCTCCATGCGGATGCAACAGCGACGGACTAGTGGACCGACGATGTTGGTCTGCCATGTCGGTCTACATCCAGAGCTTCACGGTTGGAAGCGATGACTACTGTGTGCAACAACCCGCGTCAAGTAGCATCCGCCTTGTCACAACAACATTGCACGATAAAGCATCTCACACACCGCCTGCGACAGAGCCAGAGCCTCCGCGGTGCTAGGCTGCAGGCCACAAGAATTCGAGTTGGACTTAAGACGAAGCACAAAAGCCAGCCCCAAGCAGATCTTTCTATGATGGTCTGATATCAGAGGTCGGCACTACAACGCCGTTACCGCACTGTCTCCGCGCGACAAATCCTCTCACACGTTGCCTGCACACAGCAAGAACCTCGGCGTCAACGGCAACGGTGGAAAGCCACAAGCATCGGAAGGCGTTTTACTGGATCAAACGAACCATAAATGCGCGGTCTAGAGGAGAGCTTTGATTGCCAACGATCAGGAGCATGGCCTGTGTTCTGGCAAGAGCTTCCGCAGTGTCGATATCCTCGAAAGCCACAAGGATCGGGAGGCGGAAGTAAGCAAACACAAAAGCGCGGTCTCGAGCCGAATCTCCAACAGTCAATCTCGCCCATTGCCTGCCATGCAAAGATGGTGATCAATTTCACAACAACATGGAGTGGAGCCAGTCTTGGCATGACAACCCATCCCCTACGCTACCCACACCACAGCAAGATTCTCCGCCATGTCAACGGGAGCAGTGGAAAGCCACAAACATTGCGGTGGCGTATTGATTGATCAGCAAAACAAAAGAGCACCAATCTTCGGGGATCCTTCGGTAATGGGAACGACTAGGCCTGTCACGATCCGTCGCCATCCTCACGCATTGTCTGACGTCACCAAGTCAACCTTGGCGATGTCAGTGGGAGCGGTGGAAAGCCGCAAAATTGAGATGGGGTATCAGTCGAGTTGACCAAACACAGAATAGAATGCGCTCGTCTTCGGGAATGGGTACGATGAACCCGGTCACGAGAAAAGCCTCGAGCGTGGCTATGGCTTTCCTCCTCAGTACTGCGGGGTTGCGGTAGAGCAGCATGCGTCGCCATCGATGAAGTCTGTCACGAGGAACGGAAAGTCTCAAAAGTGGTAACGACTCTTCTTCGCAGCACGGCGGGTGGATGGCGTCGGGGCACGTTCCGTCGCCATCTCGCGCATTGCACCGCGTCACAGCAAGAAACTCTGCGATATCAATGGGAGCAGTGGCAAGCCCCACAAGCAAGGAGAAGCGAGAAGTCAAAGTAGATGGAGCGAATCACAGAAGCTTTGTCTTGGGAGATGGTAAAGATGAAGCCAAGCCTCGAACGTGACGACGACTCTCACGTCTCAGCCCTGTGGGGATGCCGTAGGGGCAGGATTTGTTGCCATCCCACGCAATGCCTGGCATCGAGACAAGAAGCTCCGCGGTGTCAATGGGAGCCGTGCCACAAGCATCGATTGGCGTAGAACACGATTGTTCGCCAACTCAATCGCCTGGTGTCACAGAGACCATCTTCGCAGGGTCACTAAGAGCAGTGCCACAAAGATGGATTGGGGGGTAAAAGTTGGATTAAACGAAACACAAAAGCATTAATCTTCGGGGACGGGGATGATGAAGCCGGTCACGAGGAAGGGCAGACCGTGTTTGCCCACCTCGACCTTAGCTCCGAATGTGACTACGACCATTCTCATCAGCACAGCGGGTGGATGGCGTCGAGGAACCTACCGTCGTCATATCACACATTGCCTGACGTCACAGAAACGACTTTGGCAGCATGGACCAGATAGCCAAGAGCATGGGGTGGCGTAAAAGTTGGATTAAACGAAACACAGAGGCATTAATCTTCGGGGATGGGGATGATGAAGCCGGTCACGAGGAAGGGCAGGCCGTGTTTGCTGACCTTTGCCTCGAACGTCACCACGACCCTTCTCCTCAGCACAGCGACTGAGCCGTCGGGGCAGGTTCCGTCGCCGAGCATTTCGCCGGTGCGAGGATCGAATGCGGGCCGATTGAACAGCAACAAGCTGCGATCGACCTCGAGGGTCACATTCTGCGTTGGGGGGGTGGGGAGGGTGCGTGTGGCTTCTTGGGCGTACTTGCCCCACATATTCACGCAGTCCGGTTCGGTCACGAGCTGGTAGTGACAGATCTGGCCGCCCTCGAATATCGTCTCGGGCAGTTGCATCAGTTTGCATGCATGCGAGTTGGCCGCGTAGATCTCACCCGTTCGACGGGTGACAATCATGGGGATCGGAATGGCTTCAAGAACGTTGGCTTGATACCACGCAAGAAGCTGGTAGAAGTTATCCTCGACTCCTATCAGCTCTTCCTCGGGTAAGCTGCGTGAGAGTGCCATGAGCTTCGGTCGAATCACTGCCAGGGACCGATCGACTTGTTCACAGCTCTCGCGTGAGTAGCGCGTGTGCATCCAGCGCGCAAGCTTGGCATAACCAAACGTGTACGAGTAGCTCGGTTTGCCTCCTCGCAGCGCCGAAGTCGTGGCCATCTCTTCCTGCAGCAAATGCCTCGGACGTAGTGGCAGCTTGAACCCAGCCTCGTCCACTTCGCATTCGTGCTCCTGCGTGCTACTGGCCGTCATAGACTGGGATCGCTTCAACCTGCCCACCTCGGCGCTGCGCGGACTCGCGGGTAGCTCGGCCGAGCTGGGTCGCAGCAGCGATTGCGCCTTGGGCAGGTTGGCCATGGCAGGCGTCATGAGCAGCGATGTTGGCATCTCGCCAAAGATGTCGCTCAGGTCCGCCGCGGCAGGGCCGGCCTCGAGCATGTGCTTCATCTTGGACTGCATGCGCGCGTCCATGGAGCGATTCCATGCATCCTCCTGCTCCTTTGCCGAGACGGGCTCATGCTTGGCAGGGCGGCGCTGCAGCTCCATCTTGGCGGGACTGAGCAGGCCCGAGATGGACATGGAGGGGCGAATGTCCGGATCGCGTGCGGTGGCTCCGGGCATGACGCCCATCATGTCGAACGGCTGACTCGTGCGCCAATCGCTGCCCGTGCGCGGACGCAGCGAGGACGCGGCGGACGAGGTGATGCTCTCGGCGTCCGAGTCGGACTCGGTCTCTGCCACAGCCTTGTTGCGGCGGCTGAGCGCGTGGTTGCGCGCCTCGCCGAACCTGCGCTTGGTGGGCGTCGAGGCGGCGATGTGGCTCGAGGCAGACGACGACGAGGTGGTGCCCGAGGTGGTGGCTGCACCTGCAGCGCTGGCGGGCTCGGCGTCGCGACAGAGATGCGAGATGCCACGCTTGACGCATCGCTTGCACGGACGAGCCTCTTCGCAGGGCATGTGGCTGCGCTTGCAAAACACGCAGGCCTTCTTGACCTTTTTGCGGCTCTCCTTGTGCGGTTGCGCCGGACCGGGAGCGCCCTCGGTGGCATCGGCAGGATCGGCACCATCGCGCTCGTGGTCGTCGTCGGGACCGGCAGCGGCGGAAGCTTTGGATGGCTCTGAAACGTTGTGCTCGAGCATGTACTTGAACTGCTTCTTGCGCTTCCTCGCGGCGGAGGTGGAGCCAACCGGCGCGCCGGCACCCGACGCGGTTGCAGACGATGTCGCAGCGCCATGGTTGGACGAGGAGGAGGAAGAGGAGATGGCAGCGCGAGAAGAGCTGGGAGCTGCGCCGTTGTGTGGATCCAGAGGCGTGTGCGCGTCGAGAGAGGCCGTGTCAGAGCGACGGCGAGCATACTGATGAGTGGCGGGCGGGTACCTGTGGAGGTGCGAGGGCGCGTCTCGTGCGGCGGTGTCGCTTGGGGGAGAATAGCGCGGCTCGGCACGGTGGAGATGGCGTGGTGAGGGCAATCCATGGCGGGAGTGTGCGCCGGAAGGCGGCGGTTCTTCGGAGCGATAACCGTGTTGAGGGTGGGGCTGGGAAGGGTAGAGATGCGAGTAGTGAAGTCTCGGGGAGTGGCGGTAGGACGCTTGGTGAGCTTGGGCATCGTGGGCTGAGTTGTGGCGCTGGTCGTAGCTGTCGTAGTGCGAGGAGTGCGATGCGTATCGGGTGGAGCGGTCGTCCGGGTGCTGCTGATGCCGGCGTGGATCTGGGTCGCGCGGGTCGTAGGAGCGATAGGGATGGTCTTGTGTGGGGGGAAGCGCCGATGACGAGGGATGCTCGGAGGCGTAGCGGCTCGTTGGCGGGTGGTGCTGGTGCTGACTGTGCGCATGTGCGTTCATGGCGACAGGCGAGCCGTCTTGAGCGGTACGTTGGCGTGGAGGGAGGCTGGGAGGGTAGTGTGAAGCATCGTAGTCCGGGTGGTTGTGAGCTAGGCCCGAAGGCTGMATGTGAGGAGGTCTGCGGCGGTCGAAAGCAGCAGCGTCGGCGGGATGAGGGTCTCTCATGGTGTGTTGGCGGTCGCGGTTGGCGTCGCGGTGAAAGGAGCTGACATTGTCTTTGTATGGATCGTGACCCGAATGTTGCATGCTGATGGAGAGCGAGGATGTGGTTGGGGGTGTGGATCAAGCCAGAAGACGCTTGTGCTGGATTGTTGGTGGTCGAACATGAACGCTCGCGCGATGGTGGTGCAGTGCGCAGGAGGGAGGGAGAGATAGAGGGGGCGGCGACGGAGCCAGTTGGGAAAGGCAAGGGCGAAGGCACACGAGTGGAAGTTTTGCAGTGCTTCCGCCTCGACGGCGTCTTGTCCGAGATCAAGGATCGCAGATTGTAGATGAAGCGAGCGAGCGTGTAGAGGAGTGAGGTATGGAAGCGGGGTGAAGATGCAGCGGGTCGAGGCGAGGGAGCGTTGGGTGACGGATGTTGATGAGTCGGAAAAGAAGGAGGAGGAGGAGGTTGCCGGGGTCGAGCGAGATGAGCGAATTCCGGAGGCGGAGTGCGAAGATTGGCGGTAAGGCACCAAGAGGATGTGCAGCGGGCAAACAGCCAGCGGGCACGACGACGACGACGGGGCAGCGGCAGCAGCAGCAGCGACTGAGACAAAAGCAGAGAAGCCCGACGAGAAGGACGGCGACGAGCACGGGCACAAGCCCGAGCACGAGGAGTAAAGCACGAGGAGGAGGATCGATTCGAGTCGGATGCAGGGCTGGGCCCCGAGCGCTGCTGACACGAGGACGAAGGGAGAAAGCGCAATGGCTGGGCGGTTTGATGCGAGAGTGACAGGATCTGGGTGGTGGTGGAAGAGGGCCGTATTTGGCGGTAAGGTACCTTGGCGTACTGTAGCGAGCTCGCGGGCGGGCGAGAGGGAAGCACAGCAGATTCGGGTGGGGGAAGGGGGGGATGCAGGAATGGAAGAGGAAGTGGAAGTGGAACAGCGGTTGCGAGTGGAGCGCACCCAGGATCTAGGCGAGGTGATGCAGCAACAGAAACAGAGGCGGCGAGATAGAGCTAGCGTAGTGTGGTGTTGCTTTTGCGTAGTGGAGCGTAGTGGAGCGTAGTGGAGCGCAGTGCAGCGCAGCGTAGCGCAGCGTAGCGCAGAGTATAGCGTGGCCGTTGGGAGCGGTGCCGAGGTGTTACTCTTGGACGCGTCTCGCTGCAGCCTCGGCGTCGGCGTCGGCATCGGTTGGCGAGACAGAGCGACTGAGCGCTTCAGCGACATGCAGAAGCGGCGCCGAATCGAGCCACGAGTTGGGCCAATTTGGCGGTCCAATTTGGCGCTGCCGATTTGGGTTGGGTTGGGCGGAGTGGGTGGCAGAGTGGGTGAGATTGCCCAGAAGCGCATCGGCTCGCACAGCCGCTCGCACCAAAATCACAACGCCATCACGTTCGGCACGTCAGAAAAGAGGGGGAAAAGGAAAAGAAAGGGGGAAAAAACGGACGGCGACCGGCACCCAGAGCAAAGGAAGACTCGCTTTGTCCGCTTCCGAGTCGACCGCACTCGGACCGACGCCGCCCAGAAATCAAATTAGAATAAAAAATTGATTCAGATACAGTAAAACACGCTGCAGCTGCTCGACTCGGTTCCCGGGAATCTCTTGTGCCGGGAAGCAGCTTTGGCCCGACTTGGACGGCAAAAGCGAGCTTTGCCCATTCGGTTGGTCCACAGCGCTTCATCGACGCTCGCCACGTCGCTCGCCACGACGCTCGCCAAGTCCGACTTGCCTCGAACGCCGAGCGAACGTCGGCATGTGTTTTCGAAATGAGTACAGTCGGATCGTGGGGCTCTACGCCGTGCGCCGTGCACCTGCACCGAGACTGCTCCGGTCCAGGGCATCGGAATTGCATCCGCCGCAACACCGCACAGCGGAGCGGCACGAGTCGGAGAAACGAGGCCGGCACGGTGCAGCGGAAGCCCACCTGGGCTGCAGCCTGCAGAGTACAGCTCTTTAAGTGGACTCGATGGGCGGCGCGCGTCATGCGGTGCATGGTGGAGCGCTTGGCGCATCGGCGCAGCGGCACAGCGGCACAGCGGGCCAGCGTCCGAAATCTCGAAAGTCACAGGAGTGAGTGGGATCAAGGCCAGCTCAGGCTCCGCTCCGCTTTCGCGACCTGCACGATGCCGGCCGATCTCTCCAAAATCTCGACCTCGACGGCGAATTCCGAAGCGCACGTCCCGCCCGCATCCGCCTTCGGCTGCTCGTAACGAGCCGCATTGTTCGCCCCTCTTTCCAGCCGTCCCGTCGGGTTGTGTATGCACGGCGGCGGCAGCAGCAGCAGCGTCGGGTGTGCGACGACGGATACGGCTGCACTGTGACCTTTGATGCACACTCCCATGCGAGCCAAGATGGTAAGGGGTGGCGGCAGGGTGGGGTGGCGTCGGTCAACAAACACTTCGCTTGGCGCTTTCCTATGCGTTGGCTGCATCAAAGGAGGAGCACATCAGCAGTTCGCCTCCCGTCGGGCTTCGACGTGGCAGCGCTTCGGCAAGGCCAAACCAGCAGCTGCACGCCCGGATATTCGAAGCGAGACCTGCAAACTACCGCTTGCTCGGTCGCCTCGCTCCTTTGTTTCTCGAGGTGCATGCGTCCGGAAAAACCCGGGTTCTCCGCCATGCCTTCACCATGCACGCTCGCTCGTTTCGATCATGCATTCCACGTCGGATATCAGACCGTTGGTCCAAAAACATCCCAGCTCCGACACCGATATCGCATCACAAACTTCGGCCTGTAAGCTGAGCAGCAGCAGCACCACCACCACCAGCGTCAGCAGCAGCAGCAAGTCTAGGTTCGATTTCGCGGTTTTTTCATGCGTCTTGGCATTCGTGCATGCCGCTGCAACCGCCTGCAACTGTGTGGGTCGGAGCCTCAATTTCGGTTTCGCCCGCCTTCCCAACCTCCTGGGTCAGCTCCTTTCTTTGTAGAGCTCGGGGCATTCATGCATGCAGCAGTGCATACGGAGATCACGGCAAGCCAAAGCGTGGGTGGGAGCATGCGAGCATTGAAACAAGGCCGAGTGCATGAAGCGGCGGGCGTGTCCGAAAACAAGCGAGTGAGTGATTGGCACGCAAAAGCGTCATGCCCGCCAGCCGACGTGGGCATGGGCATGCGAGGCGCAAAGCCGGACCACTCCCGAACGCTTGGAGAGGCCGACAGCCAAGCGGCATGCCCGACGCTAGCCGAGCAGGTTACGCCGCACTCTTTCAACTGCCAAACCCCTGCCGTCTGCGCTCAATCCACCCAATCGCGGAGCCGCAAGCCTGCCGAGCCTCCGACCTCCCTCACTCACTCTCTCTCTCTCTCTCTTTCGCTGGCACTCTTGCTTTCGCCCCGCATGAAGGCCTTTCTATCATGCGAGCTCTCTCTCTCTCTCTCTCTCTCGGGTCGCTCTGCATCGATGCCCGCGTGCAGTTGCAATCCGTCCCGTCCCAATCCAGTGCCGTCGGATGCTCCTCCGCCTTTTCTTTTTCTTTTCTTTTTCTTTTCATTCCCTTTTCATTCCCTCTACCCCAACATTCAATGCCATCCCGTGGCGCCGGCCCTTACAATGCCAGTACCACGGAACGGGCGAGAAGGCGCGCGGGTTCATGCGTTGCTCCGGCCTTTCCACGCGATCAACACGGGCAGATCACTCGGATCGCCTCTCTCCCTCTCTCTCCCTCCTTTTTTTTGGGCTCGGCAATCTCAACCCACTAACCCAGCCCAGCCGGTACTCAATCTCGTCTATCTCAGACAGCGCTTGCCGAGCCCCCTTGCTCCTTGGCTACGAAACAGGTTCTAGACCGGACCATCCGCGATGCTCGACTTCCTGAGTCAAACTGTAGTAGCTTTGGTGGGTCAAACTAGCTCTCTCTGGTGGGGAGGAACGAGCTTCATTCGTGCATGAGTGAGTGCGTGTGCCAAACTTTCGGACGGCACGGTCCCGAATCCCTTTGTTGTTCGATTTGTCTGTCGGAGACGGTCCGAGGAAGCCGTCCGATGCGCAGCTGCACGCAGAGCCTTCTACAGCCCGTGTTTTGGGAGGCGAACCTTTTGGAGCTTCCATGCAAGTTTTTGATTTCCCCCCCAGAGCAGCCTTTTTTGCACGAGAAACCAAAGCTGCGCGCTCTTATCCACCACAACCGGGCCATCCGAACTGCGTCGGAACACCAGGGCCTTGCATACGAGGCGGAGTTGCAATCGGCATGCAGCGGGCTGAAATGCCTCGTCCGACTAACGTGGGGGGGAAGAGGCGAGATTGTCCCGAAACTCGGTTCTGCATCACGCGTGGCTCCGACGCCGTTGCCGGACCGGTCAACCTGCGATTCGCTTTGCCATTGTTGCTCCCTCTTCCGACCCCTTGGCACGCACCTGAGATACGCAATGGCCAAGCCCGGTTTTTGCGATCCGCACCCACTTTATTCGCGATACGCACGTACAATGCAGTAGTGCCGAAGCAGCAGATCAAACTCCTCCAGCTCATCCAACCCCTCGAGCCGCGACAATCTATGCAGAGCAGCGTCAGTTCCAGATCCGCCCATCGTGCACCCGCACCGCTCCGCACCGAGATCTGGACGCACCTTTGTTTCTGACTCGCCGGCAGCGCGGTCCAGATTGCATACAGACTCGTGGCTTCCACTTGCGGCGTCTTGCATCCATCGCCGATCCATGCCGATACGAAGCGGCGGCTCTGCGCCGATATCGTCGCATACGCTTTCGCTCCAGCCATCTCCAACCCGCGTCGCTGTAGTCACAAGGCGTCAGTTGGTGAACATTTCTGGTCTCTAAGCGGCAGCAGCCTGGGCTTACCTCGAGATTGCCCAGCATCACCTCGCCGAACCTCGACGCTGACGAGGCGTCGGAATCGCTCGCCAGCGCAATGTCGTAGCTCACCGCCTCGATGCGCGCAAATCGCTCGCCGAGGTGCGCGAGCAGCCAGTCGGCGCGCGACGGCTCGATGTACGCCAGCACACACTCGAACAGCACCAGCGTAGGCAGGCTCGCGTCCAGCCCTCCGAACACGCTGTCTGCCTCGATCCGATCCGCCTCCGGCGTGTCCGGGTGGAGCAGACGCACGTCGGCAGCAAGCAGCGAGTATTTAGACGACCGAAGCACGCATCTGCCTTGCTCGTCGCGCTGCCTCGCGTCGGATGGAGGTGCGTCGAGAAGCGACTGGAGCACACTGCTCTTGCGGATGCATGCTAGCTTGTGCTGCACGTTTTCGGCAAAGTCCACCTCGATGTACTGCTGCAGCTGCCCCGCCAGTCGTGCATCCGACTATCCCGAGAGGCTACGTCAGCGACATACACTCGCGAAATTGATTCGGAAGCCTGTTGTCTGTGCTTACCATGATGCGCCAGTACCTGCTGTCGCTACCTGCGCCTATCGAGATGATCTGCTTCCTGCCCGTGCCGGCCATGAGGAACGTCTCGACGTGCTGGTCGATGGTGCTGCATCGCAGGAACGTGCCGATGTTGATGAGCGGCGACCTGCGCGCCGCTGAATCTTGCATCCCTCGCGCGCTCGACGCGCTTGCCGCTGCAAACTCCTGCGTGTACGGCTCGGGGGAAAGATAGCCCAGACGCAGCGCCGAGAGTCGCGAGAGCAGTGCGTCCGAGTCGGTGGCACGCACCGCATCGTCCGTCTGCACCGTCCTGCGCCCTCCATCCGCCTCGGAATGCTCGACAGCATTAGTTCTGACCATGCGCGAGCGCGGCACTCCTAGCGAGAGGCCGAGTGACCGCGGTGCGCCGAGCGATCCATGCGGTCGTGACGACGGCTGAGTGGGCGGTGTGGCTCGTAGCGATGGCGTGGGACCTGGTGCGCCGAATCGGGAGGTGCGTGGAGGTGGTCGACCCGCACCTGAGCGTGGTGGTTCGTCGTCTTCGGTAGCAAACGGATCGCGCAGCGGTGTGTTGGACGCCATGGCGACAGAGTGCGGCCCGCAGAGGTGGAAGAAGCATCGAGAGCCAAAAAAAGTCGAAGACCAACACTTTGCACTTTCACCTCGCGCCCACGTGAATCACCCAAAAGTGGAGGGCGCAGTCGCCCGATTTCTGGCCATCGGGACAGTGACGTCGCCTCCACTTCGGCACCGTGAAATGCCGGTTGCGAACACGTCGCCTTCCAACCCCTCTTCCGGCATCCACCTCTTTCGCTCCACTCCTTGTTCCCACCCTCCATCCACCTACGCTGCATCTAGATGAGTCGACCATCCACTCAACGGCGCTCGGCGCTGCCGCTCGGGCTGCAGCGTCACCACATCGTCTTCGTCGCGTACCTCAGCTCCATCGTGCTGCTCGGTACCGCGTACAGCATCGCGTACGGCACGCACATCAACAACCTCCGCCTCTCGTCGGGTGCCGACTCCCAATTCCCCTCTACGCTGCCCGGTGCTGCTGTGGCTCCGAGCATCCAGACTGGTGCGGATGGAAGTACGCAGCTTGGGCCGCTGCCGCCCACGATCGCACTGCCGCCGCACCACGCACTCAACTACTGGGCGAACCGCAAAAACATCGTCAACCGCATCTTTGTCAAGAAGGCGTGGCTCTGGACCACGGCTGCGTGGCTTGCGCAGCTGTTCTTCCTGCGTCTCGCCCCCGCCACCCCTCGACTCAAGAAGGACGAGGCTAGATCGGGGCAGGAGCAGGCGACGATTACGAGTCCGGTGTCAATCTCGGTGCTTCGCTACATTGTGGCGACGGGTGCATGGCTGCTGTTTGCCAACTGGTTCTTCGGTCCACCTTTGGCAGAGCGCATTTTGACCGCCACGGGCGCAGTGTGTGTGCCGGGCTCCAACGCAGGCTTGGGCAAGGTGGAGGAGATGTACTGCCGAACACGCACGCCGCTATCGTCCACAACCCACCCCGCGCTCTTTGCAAGCTCCGGAGCGGCCAAGTCGATCAGAGCAGCGTGGAGGGGCGGACACGATATCTCGGGCCATACATTCATCATGGTGCTCTCGTCGCTACTGCTGCTCGAAGATATCGCTCCCTACCTCGCTGCACTCGTCGCGAACTCTGCAGTCGGCAGGGCGGTGTTCGGGGATGCAAAGGTGGATCAGAGGGCTAGGGCGGTAGTGGGCGAGCAAAAGGCGAAGTTGGCAGTGGCGGCAAGTGTGGCACTGGTGGGGTTGTGGAGTTGGATGCTGCTGAATACCGCCATCTACTTCCACACGCCGCAGGAGAAAGTGTCGGGCCTCATCGTCGCTCTAGCCGCCTGGATGGTCCTTCCCAAATCCAACTAGAAACCCCCCTCACCCTCACGTAATCTTCATATGGAATACTTGGAATCGTTACATTCGGGTATGTGGTTATGACGAGCGGAGGGAGATCCAAAGAGCAGCAAGGCGGATGGTGCTAGCAGCCACGCCGGTCCAAGCTTCGACTGCGTCCTTGTCGATGCTGGGGGCGGCGGCTTCGTAGGCGAGGAAGATGGCTTCGGACCAGTTGGCCAGTTTGAGCCAAGAGTTGATGCGCACATTTCGACGCGCGGTCTTGAGGTCGCTTTCGGCGCGAACCAGTGCGCGCTCCGTCGAGCGTCTTAGCGAATCGACACTCGAATGCTGTCCTCTTGGATGCGGATGATCATCCGAAGCCGATGAAGAGGAGGATACATCGTCGATGTCAGTCGCATCCTGAAGGTCGCCGAGCATCTGGAGTTGTTTCTCCTGCGGGGCGGGGCGATGGGATCGGGTGGGGTTGCGTTTTCGTAGCGATAGGGCTTGGTTGCGGTCGATCGTTGTGCCGGCAAGATCGCTTGCCCAGCCAAGTTTATCGTTGGCGCGCGTGATGCGTCGATGTGCCGACCGCACATCTGCCCGCAGCGAGGCGCGCTCCAACCGCAGAGCCACCAAGCTCAGCATGACGCTACACAGCGAAAGCACGATTCCGATGTGCTCCACACCCCGACGTCGTCGACGCGAGAGGAACGGCAGGCCGAGACGCTGGATTCCCACGGCGCGCCAAAACATCCCTCCACCGCATAGGACCGCCGCAGTCTCGCATGCTTCCCCGATAGTGCCCACTGTATCAGCCGCCGCTTCGACGTGGGATACCGTCCAGACCCTCGACCAAACCCACCGCACCCGCTGTACAAACCCACCCACCGCCTGTCCGCTCTGCCTTGCAGGGGTGGGTGAGTGGTGTTGCTCCTCAAACACGTCGAACGACGGTTGTGTAGTCGGCCACGTGGGATTGTTGGTGTGGTCCGACGCTTTATCGCGCGGTTCTTCGCCCGTCAACTTCTCCTCGAGCTCCACCTGGCTCTGCTTTCGCGCAAGCTTGCGGTGCTGCCAATGCTCCATGGTCGCCTCTGTCGCTGCCGTGATCCAACGCGCGATCAGTACGATGCGGCGAAAGTTATCGATCCCCTCGGCGGTCGTATAGATCCTCTGCATCAACGCCACCCTGACTGGCTTGGGGAACGACAGCGCCAGCACCGCACCTGCCGGTCTCAGCATAGCGGCGCGGTACGACCGCGGCACAGGATGGTCGAGCGATGCATGCAGCAGCAACACCAGCGAGTGGCTCAACTGCAACACCTGCTCGCGACCCTCCCATGTCTTGAGCAGCTTGAGCAGCAGATTCCGTCGTCGACGCTGCAGCTTCGCTGCCGACGGTGGCAGCGTTGGCCACGATGCAGACAGACTCGTGGGGAGAAACGAACGCACGGCAGATTCGGATGGCACGCGCGAGTGCGGATGCGTAGCGAGACTCGTCGAATGCGAGTGACTGATGGTCAACACATCCCCTTCCTGTGCCTCGCCCAGCATCGTTGCGTCGTACTCGGCGCTCGCATCTGCCTCGTCGTCGGTGCGCTCGTGCGAATCGCGCAGATCAAACTCGTACGATGGCACGAACTCTTCCTCCTTGGGCTCCTTGGGTTCTTCGTCGTCCGATCCGTCGCTCGTGAGCGACGTGGGCACGAACGTCGTCACGGAGCTGAGCGATGCCATGTGTGGCGCATCGCTCGTATCGCCCGTGCTGAGCGAGTCGACCGACGGACTGTGTGCCATGCGACGCACGGGTGTCGACGACAGACCCCCGATCGTAATTCGCGGCAGAGCCGTAACAGGATCGGCATCGAGATGCGAGACGCGGCTGGAGGAGGCGGTGATGTAGCCCGCCGTGTCGGCCTCGCTGCGCAGCGACAACGACGACGCCGAGGCTGGCGGCGGACGCAGATGGTCTTCACCACCGTCGGTGGCGGGTGTGTGATTCGGCATGGCGCTTATTCCCACGCCTGTGTGCGGTTCGGGCGGCCAGGCAAGTGAGCAGGTGTAGGTGGTGCGGAGGTAAGCTGCCGAGGTTGTGTAGGCTCAGCGTGTTGTTCCGGCTTTTTGTAGGCCCGGAGTGCGCCGCGTCCCCAACGTCGCTTTTTGGGCCGCCGCGGCTCGCTTGTGGACCCTGATAGCCGCGCGTATCGCCAGAAACAAGTCTAAACGAGCGCGCTCGATCTAACAACTGGTCACATTTTTGGCTCATCTTCAACGGATCACCATGCAAACAGCAATCAACGATACACACACACACACACAAGGTCGTGAGTCGTGAGTGTTAAGCTTGGTTGCGAGTGGGTGGGATATAGTACAAGGGCTTGAGAATGGAGGGCAGATTGGAGAGGAGGCAAGCATCACCTCGAGCCGCCGGGACCGGCGCGCTTGGCGATTTCGTTCTTGACGAGCTGTTCGATGCGGCCCTTCTCCTTGTCCTCTGCCGACATGTAGCTCGCAGCCTTGGCGCGGCGGGCCTCCGCCTCCGCCTCGGTGCCCACCTTGTCGAGCAGCGTAAAGTGCTTGCGTGCCGACAGCGGCCTGCACGCCGACGCCACGATCTTGTCGCCCACCGAGAGCGAATTCTGCTCGTCGTGCACCAGGTACTTTTTGTGGCGGATGAACGGCTGCGCACGAGTCAAGGTCATCATCAGTATCAATGTCAGCGACGCATGGTTGGGCACTTTGGCCGCTGCCTCCAACTTACCTTGAGCAGCTTGGGGTGTATCAAGCGGCGCTCCACTGTGACCGTGACCGTCTTGGCCATCACGCCTGCCTTGGTCACGATGCCTTCGATCGTCTGGATCGCCATGACGGCTGTGTCCTCGTGCGTGGGAGTGTTTGTTGCAGTGACTGCGGATCGGAGAAGCACAGGCTGTGCTCGTGTACGTCTAGGTCGAAGCGACTGCAGAGGAGATCGACAGAGTCCGTCCGTGTGCTGAGTCGAATGTGCGTGACCGGTAGTATGTGACCGTGTGCTGACGAGCTATTGGATCCAGAGCAGCGTGCGTGCGAGCGAGCGGGCGAACGAGCAAAGATGAGGATGATGATGGAGTGAGGAGATGGCTACGAAGCTGCTAAGTCGATTTCCACAATTTGGCGCCAAGACGGCGAGAAGACGGCACTTTTCGGTGCTTAGTCATGCTTTGTCGTCTGACCATGCGGAGAAATTGGACCCTGAAAAGCGGCGCTCTGGCCTTCTCCTCGACCCATCCAAGCCAGCCAACTGTGTCAAACGCCTCTTCACCTCAGCCCACCATCCTTGCTGCGATCCTTACTTCGCACCATCGTTATGCTTGCCGTTGCCATGCCTGGCCCCGTCTGATCATCCGCAAAACACAGCGCCATGCTCGTCAAAACCCCCCTAGCCCCGCCAAAATGATCGACGAGCTCATCCACCACTGCATCAACGAGATCGGCCTGGATGGCGAGTCCGGCACCGAGATCGACCGCCTCACCTCCTTCATCCGCCAATTCCATACCGACCACTCATCTCGCTCTCAGCTCCCACACCAGCTTGTCGATGCCTCCTACCTCGCCTTCGTCTTTCGACAGCTCATCGCGCATCCGCACGTCAACGTCGGCCTCTTTGTAGCCGGCGTGCCCCAACGCGAGGGCGCAAGGAGCGGCATCACAAAGCGCAAGGCCTCGGCGCCCAACACGCCAACCACAAAGCGAGAGCCTCAGCATCAGCCTGTAGCTCCCGAGTATGACTGGGTCGATGTTTTGGACCCGTCGCTCGCCGAGCATCACGACCTCCCACGGCTCCAGAGCGCACACGGCGACCGTCTACGCCTCGTCTTGCAACCGGCCGCCATCAAGCGACAGCTTGTCGGTGCAGACGACATCTTCCTCCCGCCGTCAGCATACAATGTGCTCCAGATCATCTGCCGCTCTCGCGAAAAGCCCGTCCTCAGCACCGACATCGGATCCGCTATCCACACCGACCAGAAAACCGTCTACTACATCTGCAAACGCCTCACCGACCCCGGCCTCATCGTCAAGATCAAGGCACGCGAAACTGGCACCACGGCAAGCTACTTTGTTGCAGCTCGCTTTCAGGACGCCTGCGACCTCTTGATCCAGCAGCGCAACGCAGAGATCACCACCGACTCGCATCAGTCCGATATCGCATCAGGGCCTATGCTTCCTCTCTTCACAGATCTCGCCTCCTCTTCGCGCCTCCCTACACCTCAGATCGATCTTCCCGACGTCGACGCCGAGTCGGATCAGGAAGAAGCACATCCCGCATCCGGTCCTGTCATCACCGTCAAAGACGAAGAATCGCAAGCCATTCAGCTCATCGATTCCGACGGCCACGGCAATGCCCACGTCCCCATCCAGACGCTCGCTCCCACCTTCCAGCACGTCGACCCCGAAAAGGCTCGGCTGTGGATGAGCAGCAGGCCCGAGCTCGTGCGATTCCGCATCTATCTCCTCTGCAACTCCACCAACTCCAAGATCACAAAGCGCCACGGCCTCGTCCACCGCATCAACATCGCCTACAACCTCTCGCTCAAGAGGATGTTTATCAACGTCCTCGAGCACGCTATCGTAGACGGTTTCCTCGAGGTCGTCCAGCTGCTCATCGCCAGTACAGGCCGCACCTCCCGAGGCCTCCGCATGACCCACAAGGGCCTCGAAGAGATGGAAAACATGCTCCAGGGTGACTTTGACGATCCGGCTTCGCTCGAGGAGCAGCAACGCGCCCGCAAGCTCAACGCCGCCCTGCAGCAGGATCTCGACAGGTTCGAGTCGCGCCTGCCTCGCGAGCTCACTCTGGAGCGCTGGATGTATGAAGAGGTGGCGCGCGCCGGTCCTTCCGGTCGCACTGCCGCTCAGCTCATGGCAAAGCTCCACGCCACCGGCCACTTTACTCGCGTCATCGAACAGATCGTATTGCGCGCAGAGGACGCCGATGGCGAGCCATCCATGAACGACCTCCGCATCCGCACCTTCCATGAGCACAGCCTTCGCATACGCAGCTCAAAGCTTTTCAGTAATCACGCTTGGGTCCTCCAGTCTGCCAACGATGGCTATCTCGAGCAGCAAGACCGCGACCGCCTCGCACTCGCCGGCGGTCCGTCGTGCTTCCATCAACAGTCGACTGCCTGGGATGAACCGGCGCAGATCAATCAGCTTGTTGCCTCGTTCAGCCAGGAGATCGCCACTCCCGGTAAACGCCCGGATCCGCCCAGAAGAGGTCGTCCGCCGAAAAGGCGAGCTGATTCCGATCTGAACACGCCTCCCAAAAAGAAAGGCCGACCGCGAAAGAATCCAGCCCCGACCGGTGGTGCCGAGCCGAGCCCGCTTGCCGCCGACGCCAACGACGTAGCTACTTGCTCTTCACAAGCTACACCCCTACCAGCAGAGGGCACCGAGCAAGCGCCCGAGTTGTCCGACATGCCGATGGAGACGGCCACCGCTACCCTGGAAGCCGCTGAACCTGGCGCTGAGCCTTCGGACGCTTCTCGACCTCAGCTTGCCGTGCCAGACTCGCCAGCGGCGGGAGCAGCCAAGCGTCGGGAGCGGCGCCTTGCGCAGGAGCAGAGCGCACGTCAGCCCACTTCTCTCCTCGCTACGGCTCCCGTCGTAGGCCCGTCAGCAATGCAGACCGACGAGGCAGTCGAGGCAGCCAAGGCAACGCCCTCTGATGCTGTAGTCGCACCTCAGCACGAAGCAGCGCAAGACGGCCAGAAGGATGCACCCGACGATCATCCGAAGCCAGCGACATCGGCACCCGAAGCCGACCTTGGCAACGTCGCGGATCTGCTCTCGATTCCGACCAACCTCAAGACCGAAGCCGATTGGGGGCTTGTCGCCACTCCCGCTTCCAAGAGAGTGTTGAAGGCCGGATCGACACCGACCACCTCAGACCGTAAGAAGCGGACAAACCTGACACAGCTGCGCAGCGCACATGCTCTCGTCCAGTGCATCCGCGAGGCAGGCGGCGCGATGGATGCGCTCCTGATCCCCGAACAGCTGTCGAGCTTTGTAGAGCGGCACGGCTTCGCCTCGGAGGCGCAGCTCGTCAATCTGCGAGACAAGAAGGTCAGAGACAAGGCGATTGCAGCTGCGATGAACAACGATCTGCTCCGTCGCACCTACGTCCGCATCGATCGGCCCAGCGCCCCACACCCCCGACGCCAGATCATCTACCTCCCCGATCTGCCGCAGCAGACGCTGCATGCCTACTGCGACGCGGTCAAGACGGGGCGCCAGGGCTGGTTTGATACCAGGGCAACCATTTCGACTCTCACGACTGCGACCGACAGCGTCGAGGTTGGCTCGATGGATGCGCTCCATATTGTCAAGCCTTGGCACCAGTCGGATCCCATGCGGCTCACGGATCTGCCGGCCGACATGGCGCAGCTCGCGCCGCTTCGTCAGCCCTTCCGAGACGTCACGAGCGTGCACCGACAGCATCTCGGCTTCCTGGGCGGCGAAATGGTTCGGCTCAAGGCGTTCCATCACGCCTGCGCGCACTTCCTCCGCCTGCAATCGTCAATCTCCGAGACACCCGGTGCCAGGTTTGGCAATGGCGCCACACTGCCTCTCAGCTTCTTCTGGTCCGACGCGCCGTTGGATCTGTACCTCGGGCTAGTCGCAGTGCGGCATATGTCCGAGCCGATCGAGCAGATGGCGCTCGATCCCAACATGCGTCGTCTGCCGATGCATGCGCTGCCAAAGGAGCTCATAGCTGCCATCGGGCTCGCCAACGGCGTTCCGGTCGACGTCAAGATTGCACTCTACAGCCTCGCCGCCCAGCTCTCCGAACTTGGCGTGCTCGATATCCATCCAGCTTCCAACATTGCTCAAGAGCAGCTCGACTCCTCCAGCGGCGATCCCGTCTCGTTTGCAGTCTCCGTCGAGCCTCGGTCTCGGATCCCACGGTACAATTGGCTGGCAGAGGAAGCAGAGAAGCCGTTGGTCGAAGTGCTTGACGTAGGCCTGGATGCCGACAAGATCAATCTGTTCTGGGCCAGGATGCAGGCTTCTTGCCTCAGTCCAAGCAAAAGCAAGGCGCTCCTGGCCAACGACAGTGGCCAGGAAGGCACCGAGGGGGTTACTGAAGGTGCGGTCGTGCACGGCTTGAGGCCCGGAGACAACGTCGATCCGTTCAAGACGCTGCCGGAGGAGCTCATGTTTGCGCTCAAGGTGAACAAGTCGTGGCGGCCTTTCCACCAGCTTCGACCGTCGCAGACGAGGTTCTTCCGACGCATCGACGCGCAAGACTGTGCATCTGCATCGCAGGAGCACATTGACAGGCTGGCGTACGCCACGCTCGTGCCCCAGAGCGTGGTGCGCGCCGTGCTTGAGCATCGAGCTCGAGCGGCCCAGGAGCCCGACGATCCGGACGTTGCGCCGCATCAGAGCAGGCCGCGCTTCACCTGGCCGCTGCGGCTGTCTACGATCTCGCTCCCGACCAACGTGTACAGGCCGATCGCGGCCGCAGCCTCGGTCAGGCGCAAGAGGACGCAGGCGGAGCGCGAGAAGCAGGGCCGCATGACGACACTCGCCAAGGCGCGTCAGCTGCGCCAGCGTCGCGACGAGCAGTTCCAGGCGCTGCTGGACCAGGCATTCACCGAAGCACCGTCGGCACACGCGCTGCGGCCCAAGATCGAGACCGCGCTCGGCGTCATCCGCAAGAAGTTCGTGGCGGGCGATGTGCGCTTTGATGCGGATGCGGCGCAGAAGGCGATCCTGCGTGCCATCCGGTCCGCTACGGGTGTGCGACTGATGCCGGCCGCACGCGCTACGCCAGCCGCTCGGCAGCGACGTCGGGCGCGGCAGACGTCTTCGGATCACGAGGAGGACGCTGGCGAGGCGGACAACAAAGCGACGGGTGGCAGTGTGACGAGACGCGACCGGCGCGGGCGCCGCAACGTGGACCAAGTGAACTTCTGGACGCCTGCGCGCAAGGAGCTTCTGCGCGATGCGGCGGTGATCCTGCGCGTGCGCGACGAGGTGCGTGGGCGCTCGGACTGGACGGCGCTGCTGCAGGTGATCGAGCCCGAAGAGCGCACCAAGACGCGCAGCGTCATCATGGCGCAGTGGCGCAGCCAGTACCAGCGCATGCGCACGCTCTACGGCGAAGAGGCGTACCTCGCTGCGCTCGAGTCGCGATGGGTGCCCGTGTACCTCGCTGCGCGCCAGGAGGGGACGCTGCAGGACGTTGATTTCCCCTCGGCGACGAATTTCGATCTGGTCGCACAGATCGAGCTGCTGCGCAGCAGCATTGACAAGAACGAGGTGCAGCGCTCGCTGACCAAGCCGACGGCGCGGAATGCGCTCCCGGCGGTGCTGACCGAGGCGAGCGACTTCACTGCGAGCTGGAAGGAGGATCTCGTCGAGGAGCCGGTCGAGAGGAGGTTCGAGGCGTTCTTCAGCTCCGAGGTGGGTGTCACCAGTCGGCGCTTGGAGAAGCTTCTGGGCGCCGCGCTCGGTAGCGAGCAGGCCGATAGACCCACGCAGCGCGATGCGTCGATCGAGGAACTTATGGCCGAATCTGCGGTGCGCATCGTCGTCGCCACCTCGTCCGTCGAAACCGACGTCGACGCTGCGTCTGGGTCCGCGGAGCACGTGGTGGATGAAGCGGCCAAAGCCGACTTCTGCAGCTCGGTGGGCGACGCGCGCATCGAGGCGGCCATATCGCGCATGCTGGACGCCAAGCTGCTGCGCTCCGTGAGCGGCGACCCTACGATCCGGCGTCGGCCCGGGACGAACTTTGTGCTGGGCGACGAGATGCAAAAGCTGCAACCGGACGGTGGTGCGCGGTTCATTCTGGGTGCGGGGGATCTCGAGGCTTCGGTGACGCACCGCCGGTCGGCGTGGGAGGAGCTGTGCGCAGCTGAGGAGGGGATGTATGTGCAGCCGGTCGAGACGGACGGGGAGGCAGCGGCGATGATGGTGCTCATGGAGATGGGGGTCGTCGAGACGCGGGTGGAGACGGGAGCTTTCGAGGCGCTCCGGCAGAATGCGGCGTTCAACGCGCGCGTGCTCAATGATCAGGACCTCGAGAGCCTCATCCATGTGCGCGCCAAGGCAAACGCTATGGAAGTGCTAGAACGCGCGGTGTTGACGCTTCCACCCCTTCCGAGCGATAGCGTATTGGACTGGCTAGATAGCGCAGACTTGCGCACGGAGTGGACCGCACAGTGTGAGGGGGCACCTGACGTTGGCGCGTTGGCAAGGACGCTGCTGGCCGCCGGACCGGCGGGGTTGCCACTACCTGATGTGGCGCACACGACCGTCACGCGGCTGGTGGCGGGTCGGCGACCACTGGCGTTCTTGTCGCCACTCTCTTCACAGCCCATACTGGTAGCCAGCGTGTACGTGCACACCTACACACTGCACACACCGTCGCGCACGCTGCCGCACGCATGGACGACGCTGCACCGCACGCCGCACGCCACCTCGCGTCTCTGGCGGTCGCTCCTCGAACAGTGCCTGGCAACCGTGCGGCAGCGACCGGGGATATCCTTCGGCGCGCTTGCACGGCGGTTCGAGCCGCGGACGGGTGCACCTGCCGTCAGCGCCGCCGACGTATGGCTCGCCATCACCGCGCTGTGTGATGTCCAGGCCGTAGTTGCTCACGATCTCTCACTGCACGTCCATCCCACACGTCCACTCGCCGCATTCAAAGCCTGAGTCCAATGGCATGCAATTCGAATCACGTTACTGCGCTTCCGCCTCGGCAAGACTGAGTTGGATGGCGAGATCGATATCCTGTTGCAGCTGTGCATCTGCATCTCGCGCCTGCTCTTGGGGATGCAACGAGGCGGCTAGGAGCGACTGGGTCGGGGGAGGTGTCGCAGCGACAGCCGGTGACCTTGTCGTCCAGGCCGAGGGTCTTGTTGGCAGCGTTGGTCTTGACGCCGGACTAGCAGCACCAGTGTGTCTCTCTCCGAAGCGTGGTGAAGCAGATAGCGACGCGGGATTTGACGGCGGCATAGCTGGCCATTCGGGCGGACTGAGCGCGCCCATACTACTACCTACGCTCGAGACGATCGAGGCTTCGGCGGGGGTGGGTGAGGACCACCTCGCACTGCGCGGAACGTTGACCATGCGCACTTTGGAGTTGCTCCCCCATCGATCAGTGTTGGGCGTAGTGGCGCTCGACCCGGCTTGTGAGAGAATCGTCCATGCGCGAGAAGGTGGCGACCCCACTGCGGCCAGATACGGCGATGCATGTGGTGACGGCGAAGGCGAAGGCCGCAAATGCATCTCGTCGAGATCGACATCATCCACACCAAAATCCTCGTCGTCCAACATCCCCCACCTTCGCTCGGCTTCGGCTTCGGCTTCGGCTTTGGATTCGGCGAGTGCAATCTGCTCGAGCGCATCGGCCAGCTCCGGATCATCCACCACCTCTTCCGGAGCCTCGATCTTCTTTCGACTGCTCGAAGCAAACGACCCGGGTACATACCCACTGCCACCCATCACTTTCGCTTTACCTGACAATGTAGCCGCCTCTTGATCGCGCGACAGCATCAACGCATACTCAAGCGCCTCTTGCTCGCTCAACCCGTCCAGCTCGAATCCCTGCCTGTTGCGGATCTTGCTATACTCGGCCTGCCTCTCCTCGTGCTCGGCTTGCAGCTCGGCCTTGGACTCGCGCACGTCGCGCCTCATCTCCAACTGCGTCGCATACTTGCTCTCTCCCACCCTAGGCCTTCCACCCTTGCCCTTAGCTGCGTTTGCTGCTGCCGCCGCACGCTTGCTCAGCACCGGCTCTGCCCGAAATGCCAACACCTGGTGCCCGATACTCGCCACCAGACAGTCGTTGTCCGCAATGATCTGCGTCACGCGAAAGCGCGCCGCTTCCGAAGCCGTCATTTCGCCCGCTGCCAGCATGCGCGCCGGATGCCGCGTGGCTGTACGGTCATTGATCACGCGGATCAGATCACCCGCGAGCGAGTCGAACACCTTGATCGTGCCATCGCACGCGCCGACAAAGATGTGCAGCGGCGTAAGCTCGAGCGCGCTAATGGTTGTATGGTGAGCTTCCCATCCAATAGACGGCAGCAACTGCCGTTGGCCCCGGAAGCGCGGAGGGCTGTGGCCCTGCCACTCCTCCTGCGTCGTCTCGTCTATCAGCACGCCCGTGCTCTCCCAATCAAACAGGAAGAGCGAGCCGGCCTTGGTGCCTACGCAGACGTACTTTCGTTCGGCGTACTGTCCCGACCCGGCGTACGTGTCGAATGGGCTCGGTCCCAGCACGAGCGTCGGAGCCACGCTGGTCAGTGACGGCACCGCCATTTCGGGACGTGCGGCCGACAGCACGGGCGAGGCATAGACGCTCGTGGCAGGACTCTGGGCGGTGGAGGAGCGAACGTCGCGCTTGGGCAAGCGCGGCTCAAAGTCCGGCCGGATCGCCGTGATTTCGTCCATGACCGCCGCTCCGAGCACGGTCGTCTCGACATCCCGCGACGCATCGCGCGGGATGCGATGGCGGAGCAGCACCCGTGCGCCCGAATGATGCACCAAGATCTGACCCTCGTGCGCCTCCGACACGTCCTCCAGCCCCCTGGCGGTCGACAAAGGCGAGGCGTCGATAAAGATCGAGCTCACAGCAACCTCGCTGCTTGGTCCGAGCGGCACATCGACTACGGTGCGGCGCACGGCGTCTGACAGCCGGGAGAACTGTCGATTGGCCTCGAGCGTCTGTGGTTCGGGATTGCCGTTGCGGAGGTGCTCTGGATCCGAGGCCTCGGAAGGAATGCGCAGCAAGCCAGCGACGTCGATGTTGGTCCACACGAACAGCTTGCCCGCGGTGTTTCCGGCCGCGACGATGCCTGCCTTTGCGTCGTAGGCGAGCGCACAGATGGGCGCAGCGGCCGAAGCCGTCGTGGCGACAACCTCGGTCGTGGCAGGCTTGGTAGCCGATGAAGCTATCCAGAGCGGCCACGAGCGATTCGAAGTCCACATGCGCACTGTGCCGTCGAAGCCGGCCGTGACGAAGGTGGATGCGACGTCGCCAAGCGAGGCGATTGCCTGCCGGAGGCGTTCGGGGCTACGGCCTGGACCGTGCGCACCGTCGCTGTCGCTGGCAAACGGGATTGCGATGGCGGTGACCGGCCCGGCATGACAGGCTCGAGGCGTGAAGCGGATGCTCTTGATGGCGCCGCGTGGATTGGTCCCCTGCCTGGCCATGGTTGTCATGCCGACCTCGCCCGAGCGGAAGCCCCAGTAGATGTGGGATGCGTCGGAGCTCGTGTTGAGCGTGGTGACGTTTGGGCTGAACTCGACGTTGGGATTACCGTTTCCTGCACCGTTGGCGGTGCCTTCAGCATCGAGGTAGCCCTTTGTCACTTTGCCGGTCCAAGGATTGGAGCGTGAAGCGACGCCGTAGGTGTCCGTGGCCGAGATGAGGAGGCGGTGCTGTTTGGAGAGCGAGATCTTCTTGATGATGTCGATGCGTGGGGTGGAGAGCACGGTGGGAGTGCGCGACTTGCGCCACCGGCGCAGGAGATCGACGCGCTGCTGGAACTCATGCCGCCAAGAGGCGTCTGTGAGGCGTCGGAGCGCTGGCGTGGCAGATGCCTCCAAAGAGGCGGCGCGATTAGCCTGCGCAGCTTCAAGGCTGAAATAGGTGGCGAAGGCGGCTCTCCACGTGGAGTCGTCGCGAGCAACGAGGGCCCATGCGCGGCATACCGCGGCGGATCGACAGAGCGAGATGGGATCGAGGAAGGCAAAGATGCGCATGAGCAGCTCGGGCGCAAGCTCGGAGACGTCGGTAGCGACAGATGCAGCGCAATACGCGTCTGTACCTGTTCGAGCCTCGAGAAGCGCGTCTTGGGCCGCTTCGGGGTCGACGACGCGTACTATGGTCGATGCATCGGCGTCATCAGTGGTGTCCGTCTGCCTCTGCTTGCCCTTGTCGCGGGCGCGCTCGGGCGACGCCGTGTCTCCAGCAGGTCCATGCGGGTCGCTGGAATATGCTGGTTCGTATGCGAAAGCATGCTGTGCTGGTGTCGGTGTCGAGTGCGAGGCTGCTTGGTCGAGATGCGATTCGTGCTGGTTGTGAGGTGGTAGGGTCGGGTCAAGATACATAAAACGGGAGGTGGGGGTCGAGGATGGAGAGCTCGACAGCAAGTGCGTTGTTGTCGGAGTAGAGTCTTGAGCGTTGGTCGCAGTGGGTGTGGCGAGGCGCGTTGTGCTGAGCTATCGAGGATGTGATGGTGTTGGGCGGACAACGTTTCGAGATGTGGTCCAAGCCCGGCTAAACGACGCGTCGAGCAGCGCATGTGAATTCACACAACTGCAGCTCAGCCTCACCTTGCAGCTCGCCACGCACACCTCCGTGCGCAGTCGGGCCGTCAGCTCAGATCGTCGATCCCATACGCCCATCGGGCCGATCGGCCTCCCTCTGTCCGTCGTGCGTGTCTCAACAGGCCCCAAGCCTGTCTCTAGGCCGCATCACCCGTGGGCTTCTCGTATAAACGGCGTCCACACCAGCCAGCAATGGATGTTACTCGGAACGTATTGCTCAAGCCCGGCGTCGGTCGGTGCGACGCTGGAACCTCTGCCGTTCTTCTTGCGGCTCCTAAAGAAAATGAACGCCAAAAAGGTGGAGCTGAAAATGCGCCAGGGCTGGGCATCGCCCTCATCGGCCCACCGATCCCCCGATAGACATGCTCGAGAGCTCGGCCGAAGTCCAGACGTGTCGGGTCCGAGCATTCCCGCCTGGCCACTCATTCCGAGCGAGGTCAGGATCGGGCGCTCCGCCAGCCTGGCGCACGCAGTCTCCAGGCCAGTCGACGCCGATCTGTCGATGGCCAGACAGAAGAACGGCACACACGGACTGTGCACGCAGCCTTGCCCAGGCGAGCAGCGGCGGCGCCCGTGGTCGTCGCCGGCCGCTGACTCTCAAACACCATCGTCTCCTTGTCTCGATTTCATCACTACCGACGACAAATACATCTTACAAAATGGCTTCCCAGGACCTCCAGTGGCTTCTCGTGCGCAACAACTCGAGCTTCATCGTGAAGCAGAAGGGTCTCGGCCGCACCTTCTCGCGCGAGCCCCGCAACCTCGTCCAGCTGCACAGCTACAAGGTAAGATCACACCAACACCTACGCCATTCGACAGCCGACTCGAAGCGGCCTGCATCGAAAGCGATATCCGAAGGAGGTTTGCGACATCGCTGGATTGGGCCGTTTGCATGCATATCGAGGTCACGGACCAGCTCTTCTCGGCATGCACCAGCACTCGACTGTCCCGATCGATCATCCATCGCCGTTGCATCGCCATCGCATCGACATCGAGACGGATAGACTGACACCGACGTGATATCGACTGCATCTTTTGTGCTTACAGTACTCTGGTGTTGTCAACGCCAAGGCTGTCGGCATTGAGGCCACCAAGTCCGGCAAGGGCATCGTTCTGACCACCAAGAACTCCAAGAAGACCCCCTTCTCGATCAAGTCGACCAACAACGCCTCGACCATCAAGAAGGGCGGCTCGCGCCGTGCCGCCGGCGTCGTCTCCAACGTCGTCGCCAAGAAGGGCTACCGTGCCGACCTGACCAAGGGTAAGTTCGATATCCGCCCAACCCTTCCAGCATGCATCAGCGCCACACATCAGCCCACTGCAGCCAACCCGACCACACGGCGACAGAAGCGAGGCGACAGAGGCGAAAGAGGCTGGAGAGAGGACGGACAGAGGAGGAAGACGGACACCAATGCATCGCGCTAGAACCCACCGGATCCACAAACTCTCCTTGAAGGTTTGGGCGTAATAGCGATGCAAGATCGACGGCGTTCGGGCGGGGTGTGCGCATGCGCATCTCTCGTGGGGCCCTGTCGTCCCTGTCGGACGCAGCTTGGCTCACCAATGTTGCATCGCCCCGTCATAGGAGCGGTGCGACTGCCCGAAGTACAAACCTTCCTCCAGCCTCTTCTGCTGTCTACCAGCCCACACTCCCCTCGCTCGTTCGACCGCGACAGCCACGGTTGGCGACAGCGATGATGGTGCTGATGCGATGCTGTGGGAAGAGACCCGATCATGGTTCGGAGTGATACTGACGATTGTTTCATCTATTGTAGTTGCCGTTGTCCGCGCCTCGGCGCTCCTGCGCTCGCAGCGTGGCCGCAAGCAGCCCCCTGCCCGCAAGGTTCGTGGCTCGGGTGCCCGCAAGGTCGTCAAGATCGAGGAGCCCGTTGCCTAAACACCTCCTTTGCACCTCCCAAAACCGACTCGCCGACCGTTCTGTAGCCACATCGCAATGTGCTAGCCTTACATGACGTCGGATCATTTTTCGGCATTTCGTCCGATCGTATCGTGTGTGGAGATCAGACCGTGGGGTTAGATGATGGTAGATTGCCAAGCCAGTGATTGGGCGGGTAGTATCGGCGCTCACCGAGTATCGGAACTCGGAGAACCAAGTTCGGTGGGGAGGAGGTGAGATGCACGTGCAGGCGTCGCGCATGTGTTCCTCCCACTCCGCGCTGTTGAGTTGTGGGGGTAAGCGGTCACATGTATGAAACCGAGGCTGGCATTTTCCCCCAGCGACGACGCGCAAAGGTACTGAGTTGGGGATTTTGTGGAGTGCATCTTGGCCAAAGCGCTCGATAGACGGAGAGCGGGGCGATCGGATCGGAGCAAGGGCGCTTGTACATTCCAAGCCTCATTGCGATTGCTCGCTGCGAGGCCAACGACGGAAGTAATGGTGAGGAACGCGGTTAGCGGGGATTGAATGATTCGAAAAGAGCGCGCGCGAGGCGAGCCAGAGGGCGTGCAGATCTTGACATTTGCACCGCACGAGGCCGCCCGCATGCCCCTTCCCACGCAGCACCTCACATTCCTCATCTCAAACCCGCCACCTACCCTCCGCCCGTCGCTCCTGCATTGATCTTTCGCTCGGGAAGTCGAGATGGCCATCGGCGATGTCTATCGATTCCATTGTCCCGAAGCGCAAGTGGGATGATCGACGTCAGAATCCCCCCGTGCCGCCACGTCTCGGCAACAAGCTTGTCGAACTCAACGGGGGCATAGTGGGCTTCCCGTCGCCTCTCGTCTGGCTGCGCGAGCATAGGAATGCCCTGGATGATCTGTCGCCGCCCAATCAGCACCGAGACACGCCTTGTGTGAATCCAACGCTCGAGTCAGATCCCCCCCGTCCTAGACGCAATTCCGCCGCTTTGGTCTCTCACAATGTTTTTATTTCCCCTTCAAGGTCGGCTGTCGTCTCAGTAAGGCCCCCACGTTTCGCGCTATACGGTGGCTTGGTCATCGATAGTCACTCTCGCTTGGAGCGATTCGGGCATTGTCCACAATGTTGTAGCCTCCGCATATGGGATGTTCTTGACCGAAGCTCGATGGAATTTGGTCTGCGGCGTCCAGCAAGCGCTCAAGCAGGCAAGGTGCGGGGTGCGTGTGCATGATGCACGAGCTTGCTTGACGTGCAGCCGGGGGCGTTGGCGCGAGGAGGACGCGCGGATGTGCATCTCGTCGCTTAAGCAGAGAGGCGGCCTTGAAATTCTCCGTGGTGTTGGGAAAATAGCAAGGAAAACCCAGCCCAAACCTGCTGAGGGAGGCGGCAGGAAAAACGCGATGCGAATGCCTGGCGCTCGACGGCGCAGATGTGACAGCAAGGGCGGCCACGGCAGAGGGGCACAATGCATGGCTCTGGCTCGTAAAAATGCAAGCCTCCGCCAAGCAGTCTGCGTTCCTCGATGCTGCCAACCGCCCATCTCGAAGGCCTGACTGCACATCCGATGCGCTAATCGCTCGCCCTCCCCACATCGGTACCCTCAGCCCGTCCCGACGGGCTGCACACAGAAAATCCCTACCCATGCTTTGCCTCAGCTGCCCAACGGGATGTCCGTGCCAAAGCCTACGTCGCGCCGCTTGCAGCCGCGCACTCTTGGACGCCGCGTGCATGCTGCTGCCTCCGTGGCTGATGCACACGCCAGCTCCCGAATTAGGTTCAACAGCAATGTGCGCTACGTACCGGTGAGCTGCATCACTCGCTGTCTCCATCAGCACTGCACAAACCCACCTGGCTGCACGCCGCTTTTCATGGGCAGATGCTGCATCAACTCTGCACACTCTCATTCCTTGCCGCCGTTCGCAGCCAGCATGGCACATTTGCAGTTCCTTTCCGTGCCAGTCGGATGCGTAAACACGATTCCAGTGAGGCTTGGGTGCAGAGGCTTAGCGAGACTCGACGTGCCTGTCTCAAGCTCGTAGCTCCACTCGAGATGGCCGCCAAAACATGCGATCGAGCGCATCCGTCGCCTTGGCCGCATACGGTGCATCGCTTGTTTTGATGCGCTTGTTGTGGGCTCGAATCACAGGCACTTGGCCTCAGCATGCTTGGCGGCTAGGCTTTTTGATACCGTCTGTCTCGCGCGTTCGTTGCGTCGGATACTGCGATTGTGCCCGAACCATGGTGCGCCGTCCGAGTGTTTTGGATGCCACCACTCCTGCCTCTCGGTGAGACGTCGCAGTGCCTCGCAGCGTCGCTCTTCTCCCTCTCTTTCGCTGTACAGCCAGCGCTTCAAGCACGCTATACGCAGCTGTTCATACGAGCTGATCAGTGGCATCGAAAAGTATAAAGACAAAGACCAATGGCGTCTTCCTCCTCCTCTTTTCATCATCAATCCACTCATCCACTCCACTCCACTCCACTCTCTTCCACACTCTTCCACATTCTCTCTCTTTTTAGCTCTTCAGCTTTAAACCACTTCGCCTTCAAAATGCAGTTCAAGACCATCTTCGCCGCTGTTGCCACCTTCGCCGCCGTCGCCTCGGCCCTCCCCACTGGCAGCGAGCACAACGGCAACGGCCAGTGCGCCACCGGTGTCGCCCAGTGCTGTTCGCAGATCAAGCAGGGCCCCGCCGCCCAGGACGCCCTTGCCGGCCTTGGTCTCGCTTTCAACGAGGCTGTTGACGGTGTCATCGGCCTCGACTGCCAGCAGATCCCCCTCCTCATCGGTGTCGCCGTCCAGAACACCTGCAAGAACACCGCCGTCTGCTGCGAGGGCTCCGCTAACAACGGCCTCATCCAGACCTCGTGCACTCCCATCTCGATCAACTAAGCATCCTAGCTTGCATGGTCGCATTCACTGCACATCCTGGAGTCTCTCCTTTGAACAATCGCTTTTCCCTCGTTTGATCGTAACCTCCCTCTCTCTCTCATCGCATCCGATAATCCTACCTTCATCACCACACTTCTTGCTTCGTACCGTCTGTGCTTTCCCTTTTGAGCTTCATCTTCGCTTGTGCTTTTCACCTTGCAACCACTTTGCTTGATTCGACCGTTTCGCTCTGTTCACGATTCGCTCCGACTATGCATCGGCCCGACTAGACGTCGAATCAACCTTCGGTATCAAGCCCGACCTGCTGCTTACCTTACAGTACATGTCTGAGTATACATAGTCCTTCGATGCCGTCTCTCGTTGAACAGCAGCACACGCCAAGGCAAAATATCAGCCGTGTCACCATCAGTCGCAGCCAGTGAATCTGCACGCGATGCCCGTTCTTTCTTACGAGGATATGATTGTGCTTCTCGTGATCAACGACTCAGCACTATCTTTGGCATCGTAAGGATGCTCCGCCTTGATCTTCAGCGAAGGCTGGCAATGACCGCTGCGGTGTCTGTAGTGCAGGCCGAGAGGGAGCGTTCGGAGGGAGAGACGTCAGGCAGCGCGGGGGTCAAAAATGTTACGCCGCAATCCAATCCCAAATTGGGTTCGAAAATCGCGCGTCGTCACGTGCGGTCATCGCCAGTCGCAGGCCAAAGCTGGGCCTTCCTGGCTCTTCCGAAAGCGAGAGTCTGCTCCACACGGATCAGTGCAGCACTGGAATGCGGTCGCGATCATCGTCATCTCTCCCTCTCCATACCTCCATATCAAGCACGAGCCACAATGATTGCAGCCTCGGTAAGCACCCACCACCCCCCCGGCACGAACAAGCCCCACCGTAGGCATGCGTACTGAATGCTGTTGGAGTTCAAACAGGCACGAACGGCTTCGGCCAAGGTGGTAGCAGGCGTTTCGGTCATGGTCGCGGGCACTTCGATTGCCAAGCCCGTGTACAGCGAAGAAGCACCCTCGAGCTCGACCAAAGTAAGGAACCGACTCACTCGATCGAGCGCGAAGTGCATTTGCTGACAGACTTGTGTTGTGTAGCTTCCGATCTATCCGCTGCCGGATGCCAAGGTTGAGGTGGTGCCGGTGCAGACCGAGCTGGAGCGTCAGATTGGCTCTGCACGACGAGCCGTCTCCAGCGTGACTGCCGAGACGCGCGGATCGGTTCGATCGCTCGTAGACCGATGGATCTCTCTCGAGCGCTCCGTCGAGGGCGAGGTCAAGTCGCTCATCCCCGACACCGAACCGCTCACCCCGGGTCTGCTCTACGTCGGAGTCGCCACGCTGGCAGGAAGCATCTTTACCCGATACCGCGCCTTTCCCATTCGAATGCTCACGCCACCCCTCGCTGCCATCGTTGCGGTCAACACCACCAACCCGCAACTCGCCGCCAACCTCGGAGCGTACTACACCCAGACCGAACGAAAGTACCTCCCGGCGCTCACGGAGCAGCGACAAAAGTGGCAGGCCCAGGCAAGAGATCTGGTTAGCGGAGCCAAGGATGGATTCGAAAAGGTCAAGGAGAACACAGAGTCGTCGGTTAGGAAGGGGCTCGAGAGTGTAGAGAGCCAGACGGGGCTGAGGGTCAAGGATGTCGTCGCCGCAAAGGATGAGGCCAAGACGGCGATCAAGGACCAGATGAAGGCCGTCTAGACACGCACATGCCTGTGGGCGCAATCGCATTCCTGCCAAACTTTCAGTGGCTCCACGGCTTGCTTGTCTCAAACGCCGACCTGAGGTGTGCATGCACTCTGTACACGTGGACTTGGTTCGATCGCGACTGGGATTCAACGGTGCTATGCTGATAACGTGGACTGATACTGCTTCTCCAACTGCTTATTCCTCTCGACCGCCTCGTTGCGCTGCTGTTCTGTGGTGCGCAACTGCTCTTCTCGCTCGACGATGATCTCGGCGAGCTGAGCGATCTGTTTCCTCAACTGGCGATTTTCATCCTCGAGATCCTCGACCGTATCCTGGGCTACGGCGAGCTTGGTTCTCAAGGCGCCGGCTTCTTGCAGCTGGTCTCGCCATGCCTTTTCCAAGCGTAGGCCGGTGTCGCGCAGCTTGGCGGGGTCCGATTCGGTCTTGAGCACATGCCGCGTGTCGGCGCACGAGACCATGAGCTGGGCGAGCTTCTCCTCGTCGATCCGAGTGCGTGCGAGTCTCACGGGCGCCTCTTCCGGCAATGAAGTCTCGGGCGTCGAACGACCGAGGAGGTTGCTGAAGAGTGAGAGGGTGCTTGAGGCAGTGGGATCGGACGCGACGAAGGAGGATGTGGATGAGTACGACGACGCAGTGGATGTGCGTATGGGTAGGGGTGAGGGCGTTCGCAGGAACCCCCACAACCCCCCTGCTCGCGGTGAAGTGCCTTCCGAGCTCCCAGCATCTGTCTCATCGGCCTTGGGCGGGATGGGTTGGGGTGAAGACTCGGGTGTGTCGATAGTAACGCTGATCGCGGGCGCACTCGAAGGCTCGCTTCGCTGTGGACTAGACAACCACGACCTCAGATCCTGCCCCGCCTCTGGCTTCGACTTCGCATCGTCGCGGCCGATATCCAGCTGGAGATCGTGCATCAACCACGACAGTGCCGACAACGCTCTGCTCATCGACCCAGACTCGGAATCGGACTCGTCCTCCGCGTCGACTGCACCCAGTCGGCTTCGCAGTCTCTCGCCCGAGCCAATTGCTCCCCGTCTCCGCAGCCCGAGCCCGGATAGTGACGAGGCTGAAGAGATGGAAGAGGCGCCCGTTGGCTGGTGGTCCGTCCATCGGCTCNCCTCAGATCCTGCCCCGCCTCTGGCTTCGACTTCGCATCGTCGCGGCCGATATCCAGCTGGAGATCGTGCATCAACCCCCGGACCGAGTCGAACAATCCCGCTGCCTCGATACGATGCAACGTCCCGGGACTGTCGTCGATCATCTCCTGATGACTCTTGGAGATTCCCATCGGAATCGCGGAGAGTGAGCTTCGCTTGCGTCCGTGCTCGGTCAAGTCGTGCGTGAATACCGCATCGTGCGTATAGGCGCGTCCAAGCTCTCCATCGGCCAGCGACGTAGCGACCGACGACGGCGACGATTCGGTCGAATCATCAAGGTTTGTGTGGGGAGGCGACTTGGAATCGACCGAGTTGCGAAAGCGACTCTTTGGCGGCATGGTTGGCGTACAACTCGCCGATGCCGTGGAGATGGTGGAGGAGCGTCTCTTGTCCGCAATCCTCAGCGGTGCCACGACGGATACTGTGTGGCTGGTGCTGGAGCGTTGGGCGAGCTGGGGCATTGATGACGATGCAACCATACCGGGAAGTGGTGGCGCATCGAATCGAGTCGGACGCGCTTCGCCGACCATGGATCGTCGACGCGAACGCTGTGGCAGCGCCGGCTTGGCACCACCGGACCCCGAAGTCGTCGATCCTGCCATGAACGTCGATCCACCCATGAGTTCTATCTTTAGCTTTGACCGTCGTCGTTGAATGAGAGCGCAAGAGAGAGGCAAGCGGCTAGCGGCAACTTGAAGCTGCTACGTGGGGTGCAGCGCCGTACTTCGCTTAGCACGCGAGGCTCGCGGTTTCGGATCGCCGCGCTGGGCCCTGATAAGCGGCGACTTTCGGTGCACCTCAAAGGCGATTCCAATCGTGTCGAGCAGCTCTGGGCCACGGTCGCACACGATGTCGGGATGAAGATGGTGGTGACGAGCAATGGCGAGTACCAAACCAAGGTGGGGGTTGACGTGCAACCGGACAGCTTAGCTCGATACCGAGCCTCGAAAGAGAAAAAAGAAGGCGTCAGGGCAGGCGGGGAGTGGATGAGTGCGGCGACACGCAATGCGGGGACGCAGGGGCCCGACCGACCAGACGGCACTTCAGGCGCCCGGGCGCGAGTGTTTGGTGCGGAGCGGGACGCTAAATTGGCGGAGCTGGCGGCACGAAACTATGTCACGGCAAGGTGTGCTGGCGTGGTGCGCGTGTGTATCGGCAACGAGAGCTGTCAGGGTCCTTTTGCTCGTGCATGTGTCTGCCCTCCCACCTTGCTACCCACTCACCCAGCCCGCAACTGGCTCGCACACCTCGCCGCCACAATAGAACGTGCACGCCACACTGCGTCATGCCCTTTGGCTCTGTGGGCGGACTTTTGCGCGTGGGCTGTAACAAACCGGTGGTGCGGCTCTCAATATAATCTCCCCGCCAGGCGGGAGAGTTTCAGAGGTGTCTCAGATGCGCCTGTCAAAAGTCGATCCCGTCGAGCGGGTAAAGCGCCCGGCGCGCGCAATCTCCGTTGGGCGTGGGGGCGGAATTGAGCATGTTAGACCTCGAATTTAGTCGTGCTGCAGTTTCAGCTGCCGAAGCGTTCGGCGGCTAGGGCTTTGAGCATGTCCATGGTCTTTGCGTCCTTTTCGCGCAGTGCCGAGACCTTTTCGTCCATGTCGGCCCTGCGTTCTTCGGCGCGCTGTTGTCGTTGCTGTTCGCGCCGGCTCGGACCGCGACTGCCGCCGTCTCGGCTCGCACGTTGTTGCGGCTTGGGATCGTCGTAGAGCTCTCGGTCGTCCATCTCGATCCCATCGTCCGCCGCACGACGTTCGGCAAAGTCGCGATGGGCTGCACTACGTTCGCGCTTCTTCTCCAGCATCCTCTCGCGGCCAGTTGCCCGGCCATGCAGCGAGTCGTCTTCGTCCTGGCGTTGGTGTCGGTCTCGCTGGCGTGCTTGGCTGCGTGCCACACGCTCCATGTCTGCCGCATGTTCGCGGTCCAGCTGCGCATCTGCACTGCTCTTGCCCGCGCCCGAACGTGAGGCCCATCCAGAATCGCGTGCTGGAGCCGGTTCGGCCTCCTCCTGTGTACGGCGCCGGACGCGGCGTTCGGCGTCTCGAGCCTCTACAGCGCCGCGCGTCGAGCTGTTGGTCAAGGTGTCCACACTGTCCCTCACCATGGCGAGCTGTTCCTGCTCCGCCGCCGTGTACGTCGGCTTGCTGGTGAATCCCCATCGGTGCCGAGTCTGGCTGGACGAGCCCGCGGAAGTGGCGGCGCTACGGATGGTGCCCTTGTAGTAGTCGTCCGGCAGACGACCGTCGTTCCAGCGGCGTATGAACTTTTCGAAATACCGGCGTGCTTCGCGGCTCGAGATCTCGTCGAGGTACTTGCGCTTCGTGTCCGCCAGCCACGCCTTGAACTCGGCCGATCGCACGTAGTAGTCGTCCTCGCCAATCTCGCCCACGCCGTAGCGCAGGAGCGTCGCGTGAGGACCGGAGCGCGAGTCGGCGCCGGGTGAGCGAGATCGTGACCGTTCGCGCGGCATCTTGCTTGCTCCACCTGCGGATGTCGTGCGGAGTGAGTTGGTGGAAGCTGCTCAACGTTACCATCGCTGCATTTCTCCTCCACACCTCCACCACAATGCGCGCTCCGAGTGCCGAGAAATCCAACGCCCAACCGCCCTCCGACGCTGCTCTTTCTCACCATCCCAGAGGCGAAAAAGTCCATAAAGGCCAAAAAAAGCCAAAAATACAAAAAAGCCAAATAAAAAAAAGAACTGCAGCACCTAGGATTCCCGCGTGGTCCCCCACCGCAGTACTGACTAGGCGATACCTTGCTTAACTTCGCAGATCGGACGGGATGCGGTGCTTTCAAGGTTCTATGGCCGCAGATGTCTACGTTCCTGCGGAAGCATACTATATTCGGTTAAGTTAGTCCCGATGGTGCTTTTGTTGAAGGAGACCAACATCCGCCCAAAGTTTTGTCTCTCTTGAGATCCAATGTAGGCGTGTGCGAGCTGTCAACGATTCTGCCCCTTCGATCGACGCTGATACGATTGGGCGCAGCTGTCAAGGCGAGTGTGCAGCATTCAAGTCTACAAGTGCACTCAAGGTGGACCGATTCGAGAGATGGCAAGGTCATCAGGGATCTGTCTTGCGAGCTGCTCATTGTCCGCCTCCGCTTTGGCAGTTGCAGTCGAGACTGTACAACATGGGCCGTCGTGGGCGAAGAATAACTTGGCACCATCAGGGTCGGGGGGGTTCAATTGGACAACGTAAAGGAATGCATACACGCCACAACATGCTCTTAGCTCCATCGCTATGCACGCTGCCTTGATGCAACACTGGGCTCCGGTCATCTTACCCCGTCCCAGCAAAGAGCGCTAGTATCGCTCAGACGCACTCCAGAGAAGAAAGATGCAGGCGCTGTTATGAACTACACCACTACAGCAGGTGCGACTTGGAATCGTACCCCGCACGAGCAGTGACACGCTTGCGAGCCACGTCACCACGCGAACTAACTGGGCACTCACACCACGTCACGCTCTGGAGACACATGGCTGTGGAATCAAGGCTACATCGAATTCCACTTTCGCTTCATCCCGGCCGGAGGGACCTACCTCCTCGCGGCGGAATTCTCCCTATCCTTGCGCGCGATGCCACTGGTCGCCGCCGCCGTCGCCGCCGCCGCGGCCACCTTGTGCTGGTGCTTCCTCCTCGCCTGGGCCCCCTCGTCCTCCACACCCTCGCGCCAGTCGTGCTCATCGTCGTCGAGCTCCGACAGCCGCGCGAGCTCGTCCAGCGTCGCCTCGCTAATCACCGAGCCCTCCCCATCCACATCGTGCGACGATCCCTTGTCCGCGTCAAGAGGGAGCGTGATGTCGGTGCCGAGCTGGGCGGCGCGGCGGAGGTACTCCTGCACCAGCGCATGCGTGTCCGTCTGTTGGTGGTGCGCATCAAACGCAGCATGTCCCACAGACCACGGCGAGCTGGCTGACGAGCACTGCATGCTCACGCTGCTGTCAAACTGCGCCGACGACGAGGCACGGCTCGAATTCGACAGCCTCCGCGCGCCCGGCCCTTGTTGGACCGACAGCGTGGCCATGCGTGACTCGAGCTCGGCCGGCAGCACTGCATGGTCGAACGATACCGACGTAGGAGTCACACTGGACGGCGCCAAGCCCGTCGACCCCGCACTCGGGCCAGCAGGCTGGGTGCGATGTCCGTTCGCCAACGCCGCGGCGCGCGGGAGCGACTTGGACCGATTGAGCGTCTCGCTGAACGAGCGCGACGTCTTGCCGCGCGGTGTGCTGCCGAGATCGTCGCGCGTCGACGCGGGCGCGGGCGCACCGAAGCTAATCTCGGCGCCGTACGCAAATGCCTCCTGCGCACCGCTGCCATTCGCCGCCGCAAAGCCGGTGGGCACGGCGTGCTTGAACGACGGCGACGTGCGCGCCGAAGCATGCCCGATGCTCGCGCGCGAAAAGTCGAGCGGCGCATATCCACCCGAATCGCTCTGCGCCGAGCTGAACGCCGCAGCTCCCTCTGCATGCGTGCTGCCCGCGCCAAAGCGAGGCTGCGGCTTGGGGCTCAGCCCATGCGTGCGCGAGAGCGGCGCAAGCATCGCAGCCGTAGGCGGGTAGGCGACGCCCTGGCTCAGCCCGCGCGCCATCTGCTCAAATGCAAAGCTGCCGCCGTACCCGCTCATGTTGGGTGCATCGTAGCGTCGATGCGAGCCGTACGTGTCGCGATAGTGACGCCCGCCGTTCGCTTGACCATAAAAGCCGGCGCCATTCGCGCCGCCCACGCCGAGGTGCGTGTTGTACGGGTAGCGTTGCATCGACCCGGGCCCATCGGGCGCGCGGCTGAGGCTGTCCTCGCGCTCCTCGCACAGCTCGGCGATGAGCACCGAGATCTTCTGCCCACGCATGTTGGTGAGGTAGCGGCTGGCGCGCATAAACTCGCCGCGGATCGTGTAGAGCCCATCCTTGGTGACGGTGCGCGAGACGTTGTAGCCGGCCTGGAAGGGATCCTCGATGCACAGCTCTGCATTCCACGTCTTGCCGTCCTTGGGAATGAGGCCGTTCTCGGACTTGAGGCTGATGACGTCGCGCGCATAGCTGAACTCCTTGGAAAAGTAGCGGAAGAAGTCGACGAGGAGCTCGCCGACGTTGTCGGTGTTTTGCGAGCTCCACTCCTTGCGCAGCGTGGCGACGTCGTCGTAAAAGTAGATGTTGTTGCCGTTGAGCTCCATCTCGTCGGGCTTCATGGGGCGCGTGGGCGGCAAGCGCTGCAGGTTGGGCAGCACCGCGGGCTTCTTGACGTGCGTGAGAAAGTAGAGCACGAGGAGCGTGTAGCCGTACGAGGAGAGCGTGCCCATGTAGGGCGAGTTGAGCTTTCTGCGCTTGGTCCACACCTTGAGGAAGAGGACGAGCGTGCGCAGACGCGTGGGGTCCACCATGGCGTAGCTGAGCAGCAGACGCGTATTCTCGAGCGCCAGACGGTTCTCGAAGCCAATGTCGCACGCGATCTCGTACGGGAGATCGGTGGTGGGGGAGCGGTTGATCTTGATGATGGGGATGCGCGCCTTGGGCAAGGGCATGACGGTGAAGTCGGTCTCCTCGCGAATGAGCTGGCCGAGGATCTCGACGAGCTCGGAGGCGGTATGGTGGGTGGTGGGCTGACCATCTGGGCCCTTGCCGATCAAGCAGCAGAGGTCCATGTCGGAGTTGCGGAGCGCAAAGCCATTTGCCATGCTGCCAAAGGCGAGGAGCTTGGAGCCGGGGCTGACGCGGTTGGCGAGCCGCTCGAGCTGGCGGCGGGTGGCTTCCTTGATTCTGTACTCCTCTTCGGTGGGGAGGATGGGGGAGAGGAAGGCGACGATGCAGTTGGTGAGCTCGGTGGTGTGGCGCTCCCACTGGGGACCCGACTGAGCCTGGTTGTAGCCGGGACTTGTGGCTGGCATGGTGGAGTGGCCGTTGGCGTTGGCGGTGCCGCCATAGACGGAACTGGGAGCCGAGGGCGGAGCCATGATGCTGGAGCCCATGCCTTGCAGGTTGGGAATGGCAGCGTGGGCGTGGTGCGGGAGGGCGCGCATCTGTGGACTGGTGCGCATGCTTCGGGAACCGTGGTAGCCGACGTTGGAGCCGTTGGCCATGTAGCCGGACGAGTGTGGCGAGGCGGCGTTGGCGGCGGTCTGGGAACGGATGCGACCGTTTGGCGAAGCCGAGGGCGTCGAGTGCGAGGTGGAGGTGGCGGTGTACATAGCTGGCAGCGGTGCTGAGCGGCTGGGCGAAGTGAGGAGCGGGGCAGCGTTGGTAGCCATCTGTGGAGGAAGGTAGCCGTTTGCAGACGAATCGATGTGGGCAGGGGAGGCGGACTGGGTGGCGGACTGGGAGGCGTAGACCTGTGCTGGCATCGCGGGCAGATTGGCGGGGTCGGCTCTGAAGGCATGGATGGGATGGTTGGCGAGCGTGTCGTCGAGGGCAACCGCGTTGTGAGTACTTGATGGTGGTGGTGCTGCTGACGAAGAGGAAGCCGAGTTGGACATGGGTGCACTGGAGGGCAGACGCTGGTCGTTGTTGGACGAGATTGCTGCGGCGTTGGAGCGATCGGACGCTGCAGCGGCGGACAGTGTTGCCTTCAACTTGGCTGAGGCCTCGGATCTAGCGGCGCTAGGCCTGCGCGCAGAGTTGTTGGAGGTGCTGGACTGGGAAGAGCTTGCCGAGACGGAGCGACGAGGCGCAGCTGCCGCAGCGTTTGGTTGGAGACGGGCAGGCGAAGGTGCTCCAGCCGAGACGCTGGCGTTGGACGAGAGGCCATTCTGAGCGATAGCGTCTGCTGGACGAGCAGTCGCGACCGTCGTGGAAGGCACCGGCATGATTGCAAGGGGCTCGATGAAGCTTGAGCTGAGGAGAGCGCGATGTTACGCCGATGGGGATGAGAGCGACTTGGTGCGCATGAAGCGGTGCTGAACGAGCGAGCGTTTTAGCAGCAGCGAGGCTTGGGAAACAATGTTGTTGGGCGGAGACGAGAGAGAGAGAGATCCTTGAGGCGCGATGCGGTGGAGATGCGATGGGAGCCAAGAATGCAGAGAGAATAAAGATGCAGGAGAGGAGGCGAGTGTGCCCGATGAATGCCGGATAAGAATGCTTGTATTCTGTTTTTTCGATATGAAGATTTGCGATCGTCCTAGCCAAGAGGGACGAGAAGATGTCCGAGCCAGAGGAAAGCGATACGGTGGACGAGTCGACCGGCGACTATGCGAGCTTTGGACGTCGATCGGCTATTCGCTGTTGCAAAGGGGTTGGCTTGAACGGTCGGTTGTGCGTGTTCTGCTCCGAGAGAGAGAGGGTGGCGCAAAAAAGAGGCGGTGGCGTCTCGAGTGTGGTGTTGAGCTGTGGTAAGGATAGGGGTGTGGTTGAAGGTAGCAGGAGGGAAGGAGCGAGGAAGCGTTGGTGGCGCCGGGAAGGGGGGGTGGTGGTGATTGTATGCAAAGCGAGAGCCACGGAAGGGGTGGGGATGCGTGTGGAGTGGGGGCAAAGAGGGAGATGAAGGGGGGGGGATTGTATGTATGATACTCTGCCAGACGTGGCGGGGGCGGACGTGCAGAGAGAGATGGTGGGGGGATTGATGCGAGACAGCAAGCTTGATCGACAGGGGAGGAGGTCAAGCTTGAATGGCGGCGCTGGCTGAAAGCTGAGCAAAATCATCAATTCCTCAGCCGAGCAAAGACACACACATTCACACACACACACATCTTCTGCACGCACCCGTGTGGCTTCCGGTTATCTAGCGCCTTTGACTCTGGCTCTGGCTCTCTCAGGCACGAACCTTGTTGCAGCTGCATCGACTGAGCTGAACTGTAACGGGACTGCACGCTTACTGTAGGAGCCAGTGGGCTTGCAAGAGAGAGAGAGAGAGGCGTTTGAGGAATGCACTGCGCCGTGCGTTTCGTCAAGTGGCAGAGAGCGCGCTTTGGCTCGACTTTGCGCTGCGGTCAACGCGACCGACTGAACCGGCTAAAGAAAGTGCACTTTTCAACGGCTCTGCGAGAGAGGGTGCGGCGACTTTCTCGCGCGGCTCAACATTGTTAGATCGGTTCGGGATGGGCGGGGTCCATCGGGGAAGACGCGTCCGCCCGTCCCGCACGGGGCCGTTCTTCTTACCTTCTTACCCTTTTTGGCGCGCTGCCACTCCCACGCCTGCAAGCCCCCTTTGTCTTGCGCAATCCCGGCGCCGCTTTGTCTCTGCGTGTCACCATGGCGATCCTATCTCCGCCACCCGGATCCACTTATTGTATCCACACAGATGCACGCGCGCGCCACATGAAGCCCATGCATGCCTCTCCACCTCCCCTCCCCTGTCTGCGCTGCTATTCTCCCACACACACACACACACACACACACGCTCACACAAAGAACCCTTTCTTTTCCACACACCCGCGCGAGAAAAGAGAACACACACATGCAATGAACAAAGCTTCTCTCTGCGCAAGATGATGTTGATATTGGTGAGCATGCGACAACAATGCTGCAGTCGTGTGTGCTGCAGCAGGGGTATCCATCCTGACGCATGCGTCATCCTTTCGTCGTCGAGTCGCTACTCCAGCTATCCCGTCGTCCCGATCCGTTTCTGCCTCCACTACCGCTTCTTGGCTCGTCCATGCCGGCTTCCTCCGCCGCTTCCTCGCGTGCAGCTTGGGCTTCGGCTTGGCGTGCCTCTTCGAGAAGCGCCACGATGCTGGCGCGGCTGCAGGGGTCCGAGAGAAAGTCGCTCATCGCCAGCATCTCGGCACTCGGCCGCTTCTCCGCATCCATCTCCGTCGCCCAGTGCAGGAACGACTTGAGCTCGTGCGATAGCGACGACGCATCCTTGAGCGCAGGTAGTCCCAGCGTAGCCGTCAGCGTTATCGCACGCAGAGGTGGGAATTCGACCCGAGGCGGTTCGCCTTCGACCATCTCCCATAGCACCACCCCTACCGACCATACATCGCACCGCGTATCGTACCGGTCCGCCTTGATCACTTCGGGCGCCATCCAGTACGGCGTCCCAATCACCGACTGCCTCCAACTTGCATCCGGCCCCAGCTCGCCGGCGTGCGTAAAGTCGCTCAGCTTGCATACGCCCGTGCTCGACACCATCACATTGTCCGACCGCACATCGCGGTGCAACACCCTCTGCCCGTGCAGGAACTGCAAAGCCTCGACGAGATCCAGCATGATCCGACTCATCCGCGCCTCGCTGAGTTCAACCCCGCTCTCTTTCCACGCAATCACGTCCGCCAGACTCCGCTCCGCAAGCTCCTGCACCATCCAAATCGCATCCGTACCCAGCACCACCGAGTACAGATCCAGCACGTTGACGTGTCGACAGCGTCGCCACACCCCCACCTCCTTCACCAGTCCCTTGAGTCGAGCAGATGGCTCCGAGTCCGCATCCGCACCGAACTTGACCATCTTGATCGCCGCGCGTCGCTTCTTCACCACGTCGTTGGCAGCGAAGACCGGCCCGCTCTCGCCGTCCCCGATCATCTCCAGATCGCACAGCACCCCGCGTCGCAGAGGCTGCAGATCCAACTCGACCGCCAGATGCGAAAGCTTGGCCGGAAGCCGGGTCGCAACCACCTCGGCGCCCGTCTCGGACCAGCTCGGCGAGGCGGCGCTGCTGCGCGTCACCCGTCCGGAGGAGTGCGAACTCGATCCCGACTCGTCGCTCCTTCGTCCAGACTCGCCGCCTGGGCGCGAGAGGCTCGCAGCCGCCACTTTGGCTTCCAGCTCTTTCATGCTCGGCAGCGAAGGCACCGGCGGCGCGCTCGAATCGGCTCCCATCTGCAAAGGCATCATGTCTTCCAGGTCCATCGACTGCCGCGCCAGCATCAGCTCCCGGAACGACCGGATCGCCTCCGAATCGTCCCCCAGCATCGACGCCGTGTCGAAGCCGCTTGCATAGTGCATCGATACCGGAAAGCGACGTGCGTCGTCGTGCGCCCGCGGCCCGATCGAGATCACAGATCGTGTATCGTCCCGGCTGCGTTCTCGGCTGCTTTCTCCCTTCGCTTCCCGGCCTGCGTCCGACTTGTTAATACCCGATTCAGCGCTACCGCGACCTGAGCCTGCGTCATCCAGCATCTCGATCGACTCGCCCGGCGACGGCGGAGCGTAGTACGCCTCGAGCCTCGTAGTATCCCGAATCGAGTCTCTCAGCTCCAGCCGCGGAGGCCCTCCAGACGGCGTCCTCGATGCCAAAGCTCTGTCGTCCCTGGCAGGCGCTTGCGATGCATTGTGCGTCGGCTCATTCGAGCTCACCAGCACGGTGGGAGATGTCAGGTAGGGCGATGCCTGCGGCATCGAGTCGAAAGTCTCCTCCTCGTCCTCCTTGGGCAGTGGAGGAAGCGGCGAGTCTCGGCTGCTCGACGAAGGACTTGGCGACGTAGCCGAGAACGTCGTCGTAGCCGGCGATCGGTCCGAGTAGTCGTCTCGCATCCACTCCTCGATCGTCGCATGATAGTCGGATGCCTCGGTGGACGACGATGGTGACAGCGCAGGCGATAGCGGAGGAGGTCGAAGCCGGCCTGCGCTGAGCATGGCAGCATCGCTGCCAACTGCGTCGCGACCCGTCGTTCCCACACTTGCGGGCATCGTGTAGAAGCCATCGGCTCCCGGAAGGATGTACTCTGGCTGTTTGCGCACCACCGACGGTTTCGGAGGCGGCGGAGGCGGAGGCCCCATCGAGTCTCTCGACGACGTACCCACCGAGCTTATGCTGCCTCGCCCACCGTTCTGCAGTGAGCCTTGCGTAAACTTGGGCGAGAAGAAGCCCGATGGCGAAGGACGGCCATCCAAGGTGGTTGGCGAGGCACTGGACGGGAGATGGGGCTGCCGCCGGTCCCTCGAATCCAAGCCGGCAAACTCTCCGTCCGAGCGCGCGCTGCGGATCGAGCTGCGGTCGTCATGATGCTGCTGACCGACCTGCTGCACCTGCGAAACGTCGCTCATGGGGCTGCGGTCGGCCCTGACCAAAGCGTCTGCCGACGTCTTTCTCTGCATAGGCGCGTGCATGGGCGACTGCTGTGAGCGGCGGCTGGGCGCGAATCCGCCCAATGCACTGCTGCTATCGTCCTGATGCGCAATGTGTGCCCATCGAGTCGACGTCGAAGGTGGGTAGATGCGAGGCGGAGCATGACGACGCTCGCGCAGACCCAATCCACGCGTCACGCCGTGGCTGCCCTCCGACGAAGTGATGGAATGCGCCGTGCTTGCCCAGCTATCCTGCGTCTGGTGTCCCGAGACGTGGCCGCTGTCCAGCGACGAAGGTCCCCTCCTGGCGTAGCTATAAGCACCATTGGCCGCCGAGGGCGATGCGGCGCCGTCGCCCGACTCGGACGCAGAGACGGAAAGCGCAGGCGAGCGAGACCTCCAATCGGCGTCCTTGGGCGGCACCTCTGGAGACACCGACTCGCGCACAGACAGGCTCGGAGACGGCGAGCCCCGAGTCATGGTGCCTGCCGGGCTTGTGTGCCCGAGCGAGGATGTGGCGACGGTCAAGGCTGGACTGCGAATGCGGAACGACGAGTGTCCCGACGAGCTTGTCTCGAGCGGCGAGCTGGCGAGGTCGCGATCCGCCAACATCGACACGTTCTCCGTGTAGATGCGTGGCGGTGCATGCGAGAGGCTGCCATGCTTGCCAAAAGCCGCATGCGAGTTGGCGGTAGCATACGAGTCGGTCGATCCGCTGCGCGACATTCTCGTGTCCGAGAGAGACGATGGTGGTCGCGACGCAACGCTGTTGGCGTGGGCATGCGGCGACCGCGCTGGCCGCGAATGGAGGTCCGCCACGCTTGTATTCGGGCTGGCGTGCGGGCTGTTGAAGTCCAGACTTCCGGACGAGGGCGACACTTTGCGAGCGCTCAGCTGCGAGGCACGCACGGGACGCAGGACGCCCTTGGTGGCAATGGCAGCCTGGGCGATCTGTACGAGTTCGACCTCCTCGTCGTCCTCTTCGGGATCCCTGTCGCCGTTGTCGAGGCTTTCGCGAAGTCTCTCCTGCACCTCTTCGTCGATGCTCTGGGCGTGCTTGAGTGTGCCGATGTGACGCGCTTCGTTGGACGAGATCGAGGTGACACTGGCGCTTTCCGCATCGAGGCCGACAGAGGCTCGAAGGCGATGGGACGCTTTGGGTGTGGCGTTGGATGCATTCAGCAGGTCCCTGTCGCGGGTGGCGGCACGACGAGGTGTGGCGTCGGCTGCAATGCCGATGCCGAGGCCATTGAGAGAATTGCGACCGACCAGTTCGCCGACGGATCTGGAGCGGCGGCGCGAAGCTTTGTCTGCAGCTGTCGATCGCGTAGTGGCGCTGTCATTGGAGGCGCCCGAGGGGATGGAGCTGAGGAGGGAGGTGGCCCAGTCGTCGTAGTCTTCGGCGGCAAAGTCCGGCAGCAGCGGGCTTTTGGCGGGAAGCGGAGAGAAGTGCTGGGGAGCCTGAGGCTTTGGCGGTGAGCCGAGATCCCAGCCCTTTTCGAGCACGCTACTGTAGGAGCTGCTGGCGCTGGACTGGACACTGTCGCGACGTGGGCGGGATCGCAAGGGCGAGGCGGAGGCGGCGGCGGCGAGCGCTTCACTGAGCTGATGGTCTGCTGCGAGCTTCTGAGAGAGGATGCGACGGGTCTCGTCGGCATCTGCGCCGCTCTGGACGGCCTGTTGGACGAGGTACTCGGTCCTCTCTTCGACGAGCCGGGCTGCGGTGTGCGGATCCTGGCGGATCTGATGCTCGTCCATGCCTTCGGAGAGAAGGATCTGCGCCCACGAGCTTGGCAGACCAGTGTAGCCATGCGGGCCGACATCGACGTGAACGTTGTGCGAGACGTCGTAGGGCAGACCGATGGCCGGGTCGGCGCTATCGTAGAAGGAGTTGGCATGGGGTGAGGGTGAGGCGTAGCTCGAAGCGTAGCTCGAGCCTGCGGGCGATTGGGCGACGTCCTGTGGATCGGCGTTGGAGGAAGGGGTGCGAAGAGCAGCATAGCTTGCATCCCTCTCCTGAGCGAGCTGCGAAGTGTTTGGACGACGCAACCGCGCAGCCGATGCCTTCTTGCCCAGCTTTTTGAGACCGAGGCCAGCCGAGACGGCGGCCGAGGTGGATGCTGAAGCGAAGCGTAGCGCAGCCGACTGCTTTGAGTTGTCGGGTTTGGATGCTGGCGCCGTGTTTGTCAATGCTGGACTGGTGGCAGCGAATGCAGAGACGGATTCGTACTGCGAGAGGTGGCGGGAGCGCACTTCGTCCTGGCCCCTTTGCAAGTTTCGCAGGGCGAGCTGGTTTGCGTCGATGTCCGAGAGTGCGTCGGGCGGTAGATCTGGTAGCTCGCGATCGTAGTTGATCGCTGGCGACACGGCTGTGCTTGACTGCGGCGAGATCGAGGCTTCTGACCATGCCGGACCTGCATGTCGCCTCTCCTCGGGAGACAGATAGGTGTGCTTGGACGAGGAGGGCGATGGCGCGTTGAAGTAGTCCTGCCGCGGGGAAGGGGACGGCTGCAAGGACGAGGAGGGCGACGCTGGGGTGTTGCTGGGTCTTCGATATCGACCGATGCGATTTGCGATCGAGGCAGCGGTTGTTGAGTCGTCTCGGCTCCTGGAGAGTTCGCGCAACATGGCAGACGATCAGCCGGGTGTTGGCGGTGTGGCGACGGCTTCAGACGGTATGTGAACGGAAGACGAGGGTATGCATGATACGGCTGGTGTTCAGCAAGTAAGCTTATAGGGATTTTCGCAATGGTGCAAGATAGGCGATGTGGCGATACGTCGAGGCGAAGGAGCAGCAGCAAAGAGTGTGCGCGCCGCCTTGATGCGTTCGAGTGCGGATCGGCGACGAGGTGGGCTGATGGATGCGAAGAAGGATTGTCGCCCACCAGTCAAGGACGTCGTGCGTGTATGGGTTGAGGATGCGGGGTGAGAGTCGACGACAACAACAGGTCGATGGTGGGAGTTGAAGCACGACGGAGTTCAACGCAGCGTGGATCTGCAGGCGGCTCGGTCGCGTGTGTGAGAGAGAGAGTGTGTGCGTGTTGGGCTGCTGGCGGTGGGCGCACCAAAAAAAACCGCCGCCTCCCACCGGCTCTCGAAAAATATCAGAGGCGGCCGAGCGGAGATGCAAGAAAGATGCACTTGCCGCCTTGTACGAGTCAGCCGCGATTCCCCCGCTCTTTGCCTCTGAAGTGCACTGGATACGCGCGCATGCTGTAAGTCGACGTGCAGCTTAACTTTGGCTTGAGGTGGCACAGTGCAGACTGCCACAGCGGCGGCACAAAAAGAGCGTTTGGGTCGCTGTCCTGCACTGCGTCGATCCGGCAGCAGTTGAGTTCAGCTGCCAATCACGAATGAATGGCTGCTAGTGCAGCTCGACACAAAGAAGCGTGCAGCTGCGTGCGTCGAGAAGAAGCGGTTGGGGCGCGGCGCAGGATCGCCGTGTTGGTCTCGGATCCCCTCGTGCGCGGTGCTGTGTCCATGTGCCCGTGTGTTCTTGTGCCCGTGCGGCTGTCCTTCTGTCTCGGAACGCAGCCCGACCGAAATCTTGTCCTTTTTTCCCTTTTTCCACGGCACAGCAGCCGACTTCTGCCCGAGAAAAAAACGCCCGAGAAAAGTCGAAAAAGAAGCTCCGAGGGGTCTCGCGTGTTTCGACCTCATTTAGGCAGGTCGGTTCGGCGCAAGTCTGTCCGCCATGGCATTGTTTGGCAGGAGCATTCGTGGGCCTTCTCCTATTCCAGGCGGCTTGAGCGCATCAGGGCGTAACTTGAGGGCGCAAAGATCAAGGCCGAGCTCTACATCGAGGGCGGCCAGATCCGAATTGGGATTTTGGGTCGCCATGCACTCGACCCGATTGACAGCGGCGGCCGATCCTGGATCTCGATGGAGTCGCCGATTTGCCCTTTCGTTGCGCCGCTCGCTTGTGCGCCCTGTCAGTTTTAGCGAAGCCCGCTTGAGATGGGGCCTCCTTGCATCTGTCTGCTTCGCTAGCGGCGCATCGTGTTCCACACTGGCACCTCGCACCAGCATCCCCGTCGATATCGCTTCATGAAAAGCTTGTCTCATGGCTCGCTTCCACCGTCGGCCTTTGCATCTGCACTCGGCCTCCTGAGCTGTGAACTCCACCTAAGCTAATCGGCGAGGTTACTGCTACAGCTGGCGCCTCCCATCCCACTGCGGGACCCCCTCGCAGGGCACGCCTTGCTCGCATAACGCACGCTTCCGATCCGAACCTCTGCTAACACCACACCGGCGTCCACTCCCTCGGGTCGCGCCCAGCCTTTGCATCCCCTTGCAAGGTGGGCAAACACGTCCTTGCCGTAAGATGCGCGGGGGTCGAGGGTGGCGTCGTGTAGCGTACAAGCGACCCCTGTTGCATCTCCATGTGCCCCCCGTCACCAAATGAACCAGTCGCCACTCTTTCACCCAACAACGATCCAATGGGCCGACGTCGCTTGAGCTGGGCCTTGTTTGTGTCTGAGATGGCAACGTGCCTGGTTGCAACGCCACCATCTTTCCCTCCATCCATATCGTCCATCTTGATCCCACCCATCTCACCCTTGCCAAATTGCATCGACCGCTGAACGCATCGCAATGCCGGCTCTCGAACGTCGCTACTTACCGCCGTCGCTCTCGGCGGTAGCGTCCAAGGGCCGTCGACTGTTCTCGCGAGACTCGGCCTCGGGTGGTGTAGAAGACAAGCCATCGGCGCTCAACCTCAACGAGGCACTCGAGCAGGGCTGGTCCGCAGCTGCCTCGCCCCACTGTCTCAGCAATCAGCTCCGATCCCCACCACTCCCGTCGGCCACCCCCGTCAGCAGGGGAGGCAAGGACTTTGGTCGTCGTCGATCGTCCAATGCCACCACCACCTCTACCTCCAGCGATGGCCTGGCAAACGACGGCGTCCAGCGACGTCGCAAGTCGCTCTTTTCCAAAAAGGCGCGATCCGAACTTCCTTCCGAGCGAGAACTCGACGAGCGCGCAGCATGGGGTGCCGAACGCTTCATCGACCCTTTCGCTCAGCGCGCACTTCAGCAAGATGAAGATTCCCTCGATCTGACGTACGGCAACGGCAGAATAGCTGGGCGGTCCAGCCAGCGATTCTCGACGCAGCGACAAGAACAGCAGAAGAGAGCAGCGCTGGAGCGCGTTTCGGACCTTGTATGTCTGGCCGTCGAGAATCAGATGGCCATGTCGAACCAACCAACCGCACCTTCGTCGCCAGATTTTCAGTCGCCCTCATCGACGCTGTTCGACACTCTTTCCTATCAGGACGCCAGCGCCTCGTGGGCCACGATCGCCGACACTCCCACAGAGGCCGGTGCGACTGGCGGGACGTTGCCGATGCAGTCAAGTGCGCAGGCGATGGCGCGCATGACTTCGAGCGAAGGTCTCGATGTGGCGGATTCGGCGTCGTGCAGCATGTCGCCTTCGCCGTCTGTCATGTCGACGACCGATTCCTACGCAACGGGTCCATCGCTGGCTACCTGGGACACCTTGAACGAGCCTATGCACGCTCAGCTCGGTGGTCTGGCAGTACCCTGGAGCGCAGAGGATTCAGTGTTTCATCATCGGATCCTCTTGCCCAGCTCGATGAAGCGCATGCCGAGCGCCACGGCGAGAAGCGATGCGGGCCAGCGATCCTACGCCTCGCTCAGGGCGCAGGTCGGTCACGGCTTCGAACCCAAGCCGTATCCACGCGAGCCGTGCAAGTCGTGCGCGTACTCGCCGCCACCTCCCGAGTGGACGGGACTCACCAACGGCTGTACCTCGCTACCGCTTCCGCCGCCACTACGCCCATCGCGCAATCCGCTGCGCAAACGTTCCAAGAGCCTCAGCGCAACCGAAGCACGCAGCCAAGCCAAGGATGCGCACGATCGTGCGGCGTCGCCTCCTCCACCGCTCCCCTCGCCTCCAGCGGAAGTCGATCGCGTGGGCGAGGCGGTAGCGCAAGGCCAGTGCGCGTTCGCGTTCGTGCAGACTCCTCCTCGATCCAGACGCTCCTCCGAGCACCGTCCGAGATTCGTAAGATGCGACAGCTTGGCATCCGCCGCATCGTCGGGCTCGCTCAATGCGGCGCCGTTCCATACGCCCACATTCGGATCCCAGAGCTGGTCCTCGCTTCCTGTGGCTTGACTTCACCGAGTCCGGGTCGCCGCTGTGCCGTTTCCCTTTTCCCGAGTGTAGAATCCTGTAATGCCACTCTTTCGGTCCTCCCATGATGCTCGTGTGCCGGACCGAAGCCCGTGGCTCAGAGGAATGCTCAGGTCGTGTCGTGGTGAAAATGGTGCAGAGAACCGATGGTGATGCTGATTGGATGTTGCCGGTACAAATACAAGGAATGAAAGAGCGAGATGGACCGAAGATCATGCTTCGCGCAAGACCTTCTTGAGCACGTCTCGCTGTGGCTTGGAGATCTGTGATTTGCGGCGAAACGGGGTGCAAAAGATCAGCATCTGGCAGAAATGGGCGATTTGGCTTGTGGAGAGCAACCTACCTTCCAGTAAAGCTCCTTGTTGGTGACGTGTTCGGAGAAGCGCACGTTGCTACCGAGTTCCTGGCGCGCGACGAGCTTCGACTCGAGCTCGGCCGCCACGTTGGCCATGGTCGGTTTGGTTCGAGCTGCCCCGGACGAAGCTGCGGACGCGGCTTGGGTGCGAGACGCGGCGGGAGGCAGACGGAGCGACGGAATTGCCGACGCGGGCACCGGCTTGAGCTTGAGAAGTCGGACTGCTGTGCTTCTCATGGTGACGGCGAAGTGTGGTGATCGTGGTGAGAAGCTGAGCAGCAAAGAGTGCAGAATGGCTGGTTGAGAGCAGTGGACCCGCAGCGGAGGCTCTCTAAGAAAATCTGGAAGAACAGTTTGTTTTTCGGCCGAGACGTCAAACCTTCTCCTCCTCCACTCCACATGGCTTTGATTTGGCGGTGTGTTGCTCTGCGCACTGACCGGCTCACCAACGTCTTTGCACCTCTCCATCTTCACCTTGCGACACCAGTGCCTCTTCGTCAGTGACAGCACCACCTCCATCGCAGTCTGACAAGCTGCGCATCGGCACAATGACCGACCGAGCCTCGTTGATACAGCAGGTCTCGGCCATCACGGGCTGCAACGAGTTCCAAGCTGGCTTAGTCCTCGAACGATCCAACTGGGATACAGAGAGGGCCGTCAACTCGTTCTTCGACGATCCGCCACCAGAGGTCAGTATCCGTGCTGCATACTATTTCAGACTGGCGCTGTCCATCGCTGACTTTGAATACTTCTGAACAGAGACCAACCACGCAGAGCTCCTCTACTGCTGTAGTACCCTTTCAGGGCGACAATTCGGGACAGACCGGCGCATCAGGATGGACGCCTTCGACAACGCCGGCTTACGGTCCGCCTCCAGGTCCTCCGCCATCGTCGAGTCAGGGTTGGCGTCAGGACGACCAGGGCATCGTATCGCCCCTGCCCGTACGACCGCGCAACAGCCCTTCCAATCCCGGTCTCAGCGACGTCATCGATCTCACCCAAGATGCAGATACCGACGAAGACCTCAGGCGCGCCATGGCCGCCTCGTTGCAAGACCAACAGACCTATCGTCCACCAGCGCCTTCAAGCACAGTTGGTGTAAGTGCACACAGTTCATCACCGAAGCGTCGCCGGTCGCGAGCCAACGGAGACGACCCGGATTGGAGTCCGGATGACGATGCCGTCAGGAGCAGTCGGGTTAAGGAATCGCCGATGGAGGAGATCGAAGACAATGGGACAGGTGGTGTCGTGCCTGGCAGTCAGCAGAGCACTCGGCGCAACGGGCATACATACGGTCTGCGCGATCGGAGCAAACTATCGAAACCTGCTCCTGTCGCTCCAATTTCGGACGCCGTGTTTCAGTCTTCCAGACGACCAAGGACGTACGGCCGGCGAGCCACTCGAGGCTCTGGGGAACGAGCGGCGCGGGGGCGGAAAGGTCGAGGCAGGCGAAGCTGGTCCATGGTGCGCGTTGAAGCTCTGACCGTCTGCCCTCATCATCTCAAAGATCCTTATGGCTGACTTTGCATTTTTTGTTCTCTCTATGGCGACCGCAGGACATTGGCATGTCGGAAGACGAGCAATTACGACAGGCACTCGAGGCGAGTGTACAAAGCCACCAGGATCTGCTGCACACCAGTGGCTCTGGCGCCAGATCGCCGGCGCTGCCACAGCACCTCGAGACCGACCTGCACACTCGACGGCTGGCAGGAGCGCCCATCGCCATGGTGGCTCCCTTTGCCTCGCTCGAGGTGGTTGCCGCGCTGCTCCAGGCTCTCTTTGCTGCGCCCCCCGTGCGTCGAGCATACCTTGCCTCACGACCAGCCGATCCTCGCAGCGCCGATCTGTCCAACTACTGGAAAGGCGCTGCGTCGACCGACGCCTCCTCGGAGCCGAGCCAACCGCAGCTCGAAGCGCACATTGAGCTGGCGCAGCGCATACAGACGCTGTTTGCGTTTGCGCAGCTCTCCAACAGACCGCTGTGCGTCGTGAAGAACGTCACGAGCCTCGCACCCAGCGAGACGATCGCGCGGGGTGCTGATCATTCCCCGCCAGCCAAAGTGGCCAGCCTGTTCTACGAGTTTCTCGTCGAGAGCTACGGAAAGCACGTCGCATCGGTGAGCGAGCTCATCTTAAATACGCCGGGGGCTGAGGCGGTCGAGACGGATGCGCTGTGGATGGACGATTCGCTCTTCCTTTCGAGCGGGGCCGCTGCCTTGACCCGGCCAGCTTCGCCTCAGCAAAGCGCATCGGGGCCGAGTCGATCCGCACCCAAGGTGGAGCAGCAACGTAGCTTCATTCAGATCCGACACGATTCGGTCAACACGGACACGTATTCGTGCTTGCGCGCCGCACTTGCATCCGACGGCGAGGGTGCGCTGCTCACGCGAACCGCGCGTACCATCAGCCTGGGCATCGAGCACGTGTCATCACTCGATGCGGATGTGCCACCATTCACGATCAACGAGCGCATGCATCTGGACTCGCTCATGTGGGACCGTCGGCAGGGCATGCGATTGGATGCCGAGCTGCGCGATCTTGAGATGGTGCGCCTCGATGCACTGCGTCAAGAGCTCGAAGCGCGCAAGCGCAAACTCCTTGGCGACAGCGGCAGGCCCAGCACAGAGGTGCTGCAGGGCGCACAGCGGTACTTTGAGCAGGTTGCTTCGGCTGTTCCTGGTGCCGATGCCATCCGCTCGGCGTCGCTCAGCGAAGCGGCACCTCAGATCACCAAGATTCTCGAGGCGGTTCGGATGGATCTGGCTGAAACCGACCGATTGATCGCCAAGATCCGCGCGCAGATCGATGCCAAGCGTGCGGCAGTGGCCGAGCAGGCTCGGCGCGAGGCAGCCAATCCCGAATGGACGCAGCTTGCATACGATCTGTGTGCGGTGCTGTGCCATGAGGGCAATCGGTGCATCTCGTACGTCAAGCAGCCCGATGGCACGTGGTGGAAGGTAGCGAGTGGCCGCGCAGTGCAGGTGCAGCGCGAGGATGTGGTCATGGGCAGACCGCAAGATGCATCGCTCTCGGTCTTCTGGGTCGTCTATGCGCGCGCCGAGGAGGCGAGTCAAGCGATGCCAACAGTGGAGGACAACCTCATCTCGGACGACGTCAAGGCTGTCATTGCAGACGACAACCTCACGTACGAGTCGGAGCTGCTTTCCTTGATCCGTTCCGATGCAGCTACACCGTCATCCACCGCCTCTGCAGGGGATATTGTCGCAGAGCCCGCGAACCAAGGCGTCGCAAATCCAAACAGCGGTCCTCGGGACGAACTGCAAGACGTCACGATGGGCATTGAACCAGACAACACCCCTGCCGTGGAATCGGCACCACGGCCTGTCAACGAGAGCTGAGCAATGTCGCCTAGAGTCATGGCCAAGCAATTCAAAACCGGGAAGACAAAGCGTCATGCTCAACGCTGATTCATTACGCATCGATGGAAGGGGAAGTTCAGTGATGCACGACGCATGCGATTTTAGATAGCGGTGAGAAGAAAGTGTACATGAGTCGAGGCTGGCCTCGGGCAAGACGACTCGACGCTCTAAGCGACGACACGAGCCGCTGACTGGGTGTGCGATTCTTGTCTGGCCTGAGCAGCTGCAAGATGCCTTCTCCAACCCGAAACGGGCTTTGTCCTTCCCCAGCCCCTGCGCAGAGCGGATCGCTTGGAGTTCTGGTCCTTTGCGCGCTGCGACTCGAAGCCGTTACGGCCCACGCGCGCCTCGAGCTTGGTGCGTCGCGCATCGGCACGCGTGCGCGGCGCATTGCGCGTATAGTGTTCCCAGGCCATCGAGTAGAGCTCGCCGCCCGCCGGGTAGGGCGAAGGCAGATCGGTACGGAACGTCCAACGCTGCTTTCCATCCGCACCCACCGTCTTGTATGGAACAATGGTCGGGTGTCGAACATAGATCGTCGAACATGTGGCAAAGGACACCTCGAGGTAGGGTGGCACGAACAGGAACGGCGCAGCATAGTCCGGCAGCGTGAAAGGTCGCACTCCGGGCGGAAGCATCTTTTCCTTCTCCTTGCCCTTGCCCTTGTCCGCGCGAGCGGCAGAAGCGTCGGCCTTGTCACCAGCGTTCTCGGACGATGCCTCGGCCTCGGCCGACGCTTGTGTGGAGGCATCAGCAGACTCAGCAGCTGCCTCGCCCTCCTTGGCCTCGGAAGCTGGCGCAGACTCTGCACTGGCTTCGGCGGCCTCGCTCGCCTGGGCAGCCTCGGTTGCGTCGGCCTCGCCCGAGACGGCGTCGTTGATCCTCTGCTGCTTTGCCTTCTTTGCGAGCTCCTCGCTGAGCATGGGCACGGCAGAAGGCTCGACGCTGATAAGGTCGCCAGGCTGCAGCAGCTGGTTGGGGTTGGAGCACTTGGTGCCGTTGATCTTGACCTTGCCCTGCACGACCATGGCCCTGGACTCGTAGGCGGAGCGAGCGAAGCACGAGCGGAAGACGACGACGTCGAGTCGGCGCTCAATGTCGCGCATGAAGAGCGAAGCGGTAGGCATGGCGTCCATCTCTTCGAGCGCCTTTTGCTGTGTGACGGTGGCGTAGGACGAGCCGGAGCCGGACGCGGACGGTGCGCCAGCTGCGGGGGCAGCAGGTGCCCTGCGTGCCTGGAGCGCCTTATCAAAAAGACCGCCGCGTCGAGGACCAGAGGTGGACGAGCCGGACGAGACGCCCGAGGCGGTTGCGGCGGAGACCTGGGGCGGGACGAAGCTGGGGAGCTCGGTGGGGAGGAACCAGCGCTTGAAGCGCTTTTCTGGGATCCAGTCGCCGTGATATGCGCGGAGGAAGCGCTTGGAGCGCCATCGCTGCTGGTACATGGTGAGCGAGGTCTTGGTGAACGAAGTCTGCGAGGCGTGGAAGGGGACGGTGGAGCGAGCGATCATGTTGTACAGGTTGCGCGCCGACCACGACATGCGTGGCATGACGGTCTCGTGGCTGAAAACTTTCGCCTTGCGCATGGCGGCGAAGGGGTGACCGCAGCGAGCCGGTCGGTGGTGATGCTGGTGAGAGGGCGGGAGTGTCGGCGATGTCCAGTCGTGCGTCGGTAGCACTGGAGCGTGTTGCTGAGGCGAGAGATGCCGACGAAGCTGTGTGGTGCGCTGTGTCGGGCTCGGGTGGAAGAGTGGTGGTGGTGCTCGCCGTTGCCGGATGACGAAGAAGAGCTTGCCCAGCCTCCTCTCTGACTTTTTCCGAAGTGTGGAAGAAATCCACCAGCAGCAGCAGCCAAGATCACGTGGTGAAGCGCCGTCGACCGATCGGAATCGGTGTGCCGATTCTTACGGCCCGATATTGCGAACGAAATCGCGAGATCCTCGGATGTGACGGATTTTTAGCTCGAGCACGCCATCGCTGCGCAGGTGCAGGGGATCTGCAAGCCCAGTCACGTATGGCCGCACTCCACGCCCTCACCGAAGCCGGCAGGCACTTTCATTCGAGGCCCTCTCATCGACAACAGCCGCTGCGTCTGCAGTTCAGTGGAACCCTGTTCTCTTTGACCTTTCACAGCAGGCAAGAAGGAATGAAGGATCTGGTCTGTGCACTAGGCGGGTGGCTGCTCTTTCTGGCTCACGAGCAAGGAAAGGATGAGCACGTTCTGGCCGGCCTTGCATTGCATGGGGGAGAAGCGAAGGGTGCGCTGCTGTGCTGCGCTGTTACTCGACGCCGGCTTCCGGGACGACAGACTGGGGGTTGAGCGGCGGCTCCACGCGTCAGTGTGCCTGTCACTCAAAGCAAGCTCTAGGTCGCGCAGCGTGTGAGTGAGGTGTGTGAGTGAGGTGTGTGAGTGTTGGGGGCTGCGGGAGACGCCTGATGGGATGATTTTCGTCGGGTCGCTCTGGCTGTGGCGTTGAATTTCGATTTCTTCCAACTTTTGCAGCCGCCGACAGACCCTGACTGACAGGCAAAGTGCCTGGCGCGTGCAACGCACGTCAAACACGTCCGTGCTTTTTTTTTTCTCTTCTTCTCGATTGGGATCGCTGGCTGTCGTCTCTCGGCACGTTCCGCCTTGGACTGACGGCCGCTCGTGCTTGCTGCCTGCCTGCTTGCTTGCTTGCTTGCTGCTGAATGCCAGAGCTACGCTACGCTTCGCTACCTCCAAAGATCCCCATCCCCAAGCTGCACGTCATCCTCTCCCTTCCTCTCTATCATCACCACCCCCTTCACATCCATCCTCATCCTCTACCACCCCCTTCGTCATTCATAGACAAAATGGCTCCCGCTATCCGCACTCTCCCCGAGGGTCACTTCCTCTTCACCTCGTAAGTGTTTTCGTCCACGCATTCACAGCGTCGTACTTTACCGTCCGAGCATGGCGGCTGATCATATCCGTTTTGCACTTTCCTGCCTGCTTCATTTTTGCGTCACAGCGAGTCCGTCGGTGAGGGTCACCCCGACAAGATCTGCGACCAGGTCTCCGATGCCATCCTCGTAAGTATCTTTCACGAATCAGGGCGTGGATCTGCTCGTCTCCTGGATCAATCGCTGCTTTCATTCGCGGCGTCGACTGGCTCGGCCGGTGCGAAATCAATGCGGAAGTGGTCCGTCCAGCTTCCCGCGAAGCTCTCCCAAAACGAGCTCCAAAAAGGCGAAGCACAGTTGATTGCGCCCGATCGCAGTTGGCGGGGGATCCGAAAGATCACTCGGTCTGATCCAGGAGCTTGCAGGGACAGCCTAGGCGCTTCACTTCCAATTTGCGGCAGAAAGCTGATATCTCCCTTTTCCCGCTTCCTTGCGCTTGACAGGACGCCTGCCTCGAGCAGGACCCTTACTCCAAGGTCGCCTGTGAGACCGCCTCCAAGACCGGTATGATCATGGTCTTCGGCGAGATCTCGACCAAGGCCCAGATCGACTACCAGAAGGTCATCCGTAACACCATCAAGCAGATCGGCTACGACTCGTCCGAGAAGGGCTTCGACTACAAGACCTGCAACGTGCTCGTCGCCATCGAGCAGCAGTCGCCCGACATTGCCCAGGGTCTCGACCACGGCTCGCTCGAGGAGCACGGTGCCGGTGACCAGGGTATCATGTTCGGCTACGCCACCGACGAGACCCCCGAGATGATGCCCATGACCCTCATGCTCTCGCACAAGCTCAACCTCGCCATGTCCGCCGCCCGCCGCGACGGCACCCTCGGCTGGCTCCGCCCCGACTCCAAGACCCAGGTCACCGTCGAGTACAAGAAGGACGGCGGCGCCACCATCCCCCTCCGTGTCGACACCGTCGTCATCTCCACCCAGCACGCCGAGGAGATCTCCACCGAGGACCTCCGCTCCGAGATCATGGAGAAGATCGTCAAGAAGGTCATCCCCGCCAACCTGCTCGACAACGACACCATCTACCACATCCAGCCCTCGGGACGCTTCGTCATCGGCGGCCCCCAGGGTGACGCCGGTCTCACCGGCCGCAAGATCATCGTCGACACCTACGGTGGCTGGGGTGCCCACGGCGGTGGTGCCTTCTCCGGCAAGGACTTCTCCAAGGTCGACCGTTCCGCCGCTTACACCGCCCGATGGGTCGCCAAGTCGCTCGTCGCCGCCGGCCTCGCGCGCCGTGTGCTCGTCCAGTTCTCGTACGCCATCGGTGTCGCCGACCCCCTGTCGGTCTTCGTCGACTCGTACGGCACCGGCAAGAAGTCGGACGAGGAGCTCGTCAAGATCATCCGCAGCAACTTCAACCTGCGCCCCGGTGTGATTGTCAAGGACCTCGGCCTGCAGAAGCCCCAGTACCTGGCTACCGCTGCCGGTGGTCACTTTGGCCGATCCGAGTTCTCGTGGGAGCAGCCCAAGCAGCTCAAGTTCTAAGGTGGCCATGCCCGCTTTCCAACTTGGGACTAGCTTGCTGATGATGCCTTGAGCGTCTGTCCTCTCCCAACCAACCCAAAAAAAAATGGTCGATTCAACATCGTATATTCTTCCCGCAATCGTTCTTCTTTCTTCTTCTCCTCATGTGTTACCATCAACTTTTCTTCCTTTTCGCTCTCTTTTGCTCTTTGCCCCACTTCTCACGGTTCTCGAATCGGTTTTCCGTAGTGTTACTCGCTCTCTCTTTTTCGTCTCTTGCATAGACCCGCCTCACCCCCCGATCACGCCCCTCCCTCAACATCTGTACTACCTCTGCACTTTTCGTCGGTCTTTTCGTCCGCACTCGCACTCACCGCATACCGATCTAGCTGATCATCCCGGACGGCTACGACCCACTAATACCACAACACACGTCAACCGTGACTTTTCACTGGTCTGTGTCGTGTGTCACTTGAGGCCACAAGAGTGAGACTCTCCTTTCCACATTGCTCGTGTATCGAGGATCACGCCCATAAGTGTTGTTGAGATCACAGTGGTAGTCAGTCTGACTCTATTTCTAGCGACGGGGAAGGGCCGAGGTAGAGGCCTTGCGGTCGCGCGGCTCTACCATCGTCTTGAGCTCGTACGCGCTATCGTCTTGAGGGAGCTGTGGCGAGTTGGGACGTGTAGGATTGACCGAGCTGTCCTCTGACTTGCCCTCCATTCCGCCGACGATGCCGATGGACCTGAGTCTTGCCAAGGCGACGATGATCGACAGCACAGAACAGGCAAAGCAGAACCAAGACGCAGCCTTGTATCCCTTAAGCAGTGCTTCGACTGGTACCGTTTCGCTGCTACCTGCATCCACCGCTGCACCACCCGCGCGCTTGACGAGCGAAGATCCGGTCAGCAGCATCGACGGATGCAGTGAAAGACCTCGCGACAGCAGAAGCGTCGTATGACTCTTGGCACTGGACACGGCAGCCTTGGTGACCGAAGTTGAGATGGTCGAAGAGATGGCCAGACCCAGCGATGTCGCTACACGGATAGTGGTGTTGAACAACGATCCCGCAAGTGCCTGATGCTGTCGTCCAACGGACTTGGAGCTGTACAGAGAGCCCGCGGGGAAGAAGACATCCGGACCGACCTGGAGGATGAGGACGTAAAGCATGGCTTTGTAGTACGGCGTGCTGGGTTCAACGGCCAGAGACAGAATGAGACAAGCAGCTGCACCAGCGGTAGCACCTCCCACGATAAGCCAGACGGCGGGGACCCTTCCGACGACAGCACCAGCCAGCACGTTGAGCGCCAGACCCATGCCGACCATGGGAAGGAAGAAGAGCGAGGTCTTGGTGGCCGAAACATGCTGCACCTCCTGGAACACCAAAGTGCTGAGGTAGGACATCACGTTGAACGACAGCCAGGCGAGGAAGATGACCAGCAGTACCGCTCCAAAGCGCGGCGCTCGCCAGATGGCCGGCGGCAGCAGCGGCGTGGTGGGTGGTGCCTTGAAGAACGTTGCGTTGCGCGTTTGATGATTGGTGGCTGCAACAGACGCGCCCGTCTCGTAGGTGCGCTGCCTGCGTTCGAGATATCGCTCCCAGGAGATGAAGGCCGCAAGCAGCGACACGGATGTCGGAAGCAGCGCCAGCACGTACGAGGTCTTCCAGCCGTGCGGCGCCGACTCGGCATCGGCAAGTGCAAACGTCAGCATGACCAGGCCACTGGTGGACATGAATGCGCCAAACCAGTCGAAGGTCTTGAGTCGCATCGAGCGGCTGGTGCTGTCGCTGGCACCAGCTAAGCCCGCGGACGCAGAAAGCTCGTCCAGATTGTGCGGTACCGACGTGGTGGAGGCGCGTCCTTCGACCGAAACTGCAGCCGCATTGGTGGGCAGATGGAGGACCGAGCTGGCACGCGAGTTTGCGGCAGTTGGAATGAGCTCCTCGCCCTCGTTTGGCAGCGACACGTACGCACACGCTCCGAGACCGATGGCGAAAGCGCCCAGGATCCAGAAGATGATGCGCCAGTTATTCGCAAGCAGACCACCGAGAATGAGACCCAGGATGAAGCCGATGGGCTGGGCAGCGCCGATGAGTGCAAAGCTACGGTTCTTGATGGGACCTTCCGGGATCGAGCTGCCAAGGATGCCCACTCCCGCAGGGATGAGCATGGCGGCGGCCAGACCCAAGCCAGCACAGCATCCGATCAGGCCCGTTCCAGATTGCATGAAGGAGGTGGTGATCGAGACTGCCGCAAAGACGGCGACGCCCAAGAGGAAGACACGTCTCCGCCCGAAAGCGTCAGCCATGGCGCCGGCGATGAGCAGCAACGCACCGCTCACGAGCGAGAACATGGAGAGTGGCCACGAGAGCAACTCTTGCGAGAGACCGATCGATTTTGCAATGGAGGGCAATGCCACCGTCAGCGCTCCTCCCAGGAAAGAGTTGAGCACCGTCACGCCGCTGATGGCAGTGAGCGATAGGATGATGCGCGAGAGGGGCGAGATTTTGGGTGGAGAGAGCATGCGGACGAGCTTCTTGGACGAGAACACGCCGTGGCGCAGCTCGGACAAGCTGTTGGATCGCTGCATACTCTAGTTGAAGCCAGGAGCGAGGGGTACTCGATGAAATTCTTCGCGCGCTGTGATGAAGGTCGAGGATGAAGTCTCGCGACCTCCCCGTGAACGCTTGCTTTTCTTCTTTAAATACTTGGCGGAAGTCGTTCCGTAGGCTCGGTGGGTGCTGAGCCTTGACCTTGACGCCGCCTTTAGCCGAGAGCAACCGACTCGGCGTCGGACCTTGCATCAATCTGATAATAATCGGGCCTGGAGCTGCTCCCGATTCGCTGTCGGAACGCAAAAATCGACAGTTGCCGGGGAATTGACCGATGAGCGTGCTTGATCTGAGCGCGCGGCACTTAAATGCTTTGATCTCGACCATCACCCCCCAGCTCATCCGACACCGACAGTCACCGAGTATCACAGCCATGTCGACAGCACCCACTCTATCGCTTCAAAAGACTTCGGTCGCACTGATTCAGCTGGGCTCGACATCGTTCGACAAGGCGTTCAACCTCAAGCGTGCACGCGATGCAGTGTTACGGGCAGCAGCCACGCGTCCGGGTGCAACCGCCTCGATCTCGGCCCCCGTGGGCATGGTGGTGCTGCCCGAATGCTTCAACTCGCCATACGGGGTGAAGTACTTTGCCGAGTATGCCGAGTCCTTTGGTGGAGCCTATCAGAAGATCAAGAAGCCGCTTCCTTCTGCACTGGCGCGTATGGGCAAGGGCAAAGAAGAGATCCGCTGGACCATCGACGCATCCACCGATCCGAGTGCGGAATCCCGACTGGCGCGCGAAAAGGGGGTCGGCAAACCCGTTGACATCGACGAGCGTATCCAGAAGCTGTCGCCGAGTCTCAAAATGCTTTCCGAGACGGCGCGCGAGGCCAAGGTGGTGCTGGTGGGCGGAAGCGTGCCGGAGCGCGACGATCTGACGGGCAACATTTACAACTCGTCGTGCGTGTTCAACGAAGAGGGCCAGCTCATCAGCATCCACCGCAAGCTGCATCTGTTCGACATCGACATCCCGGGCAAGATGACGTTCCAGGAGAGCGAGACCCTGGCGGGTGGCGATCGGGTCACGCTTTTCGACTGCAGCCTCGGCCGCTTCGGACTGGGCATCTGCTACGATTTGCGCTTCCCCGAGCCGGCGATGATCGCTGGTCGTCTGGGCGCAGGATGCATGATCTATCCGGGCGCTTTCAACACCACTACGGGGCCCGTGAGCTGGGAACTGCTGCTGCGCGCGCGCGCCACGGATAACCAGGTGTACACGCTCGGTTGCAGCCCGGCACGCCCGAGCCAGCAAGCCATGGATGGCGAGTCCACCGACAAGGACGGCTGGCGTCAGGGCGAAAAGGCGTACCCTGCCTGGGGACATTCGACCGTCGTCGGCCCGCTCGGCGACGTCAAGGCGAAACTGGCAGAGGAGGAGGATACGCTCTTCTTTACGCTCGATCCCGAAGAGGTTGCGCAGACGCGACGAAACATTCCCATCAGCACCCAGCGCAGATTCGACGTCTACCCGGACATCACCTGCGGATAGTCGAGCGCTTGCATGTACGTAGGGCAAGCTCAAGTGTCGCAACAGATTGGTCGTTTGAAAGGAAGCTGCATTGAGCGAGCTCGGAGACGTAGGGTAGTCACCATCGCCGATTGTGGCTCAAGCGGATGAGGTTGCAGAGGCGCATCGGGAAGACGAAGATGTGAGATTTGGCTGCGAGACACCACTGCGGCTCTAATTTGGCGGGTCATGTCTCGACGGGCATTTTGAGGCTGGCACCGATGAGGCCAAAGCGGGGTGGGGATCGAATGAATGGGGCGGGGGGGCGGTTCGGTTCCAGGTGGGGGCGCGGTGGAGACTACAGAGAAAGCGGGTTGGAGCCGCAAAAAAGGCTTGGCTCGCGTCGAGCTTCCGCAGGTGCGCAAGCCCGCAAGCCCATCTGCCCCCTCGGTTGGCGTCGCTTCCGCAGGGCTACCACGTTCCGCGATGCTCACAACGAATGCTTTCCTTTCAAAGACGAGCTGCTTGCCGCTTCACCCAACCGCGTCGTTATCGATCGCACCTAGGCCATGCTCAACATATCCATGAGAGTTGAGCCGAACAGAGCCGGGAGCCGCGCGCATTAGCGGCGGAGAAAGGAGGATTTTCGGCGGAAATGCGATTCATGCCTTCCAAGCTTCCCGGAGAGCAACAGCTACGCAGCTCGACACGGGCGGTGCGGCGCGGTGGCGTGCGGAGTCGAGCCGGACCGACAGAGGCTTGGGCGAAATTTGACCGAGCGGCATCTCAATTGTGCCCTCCGGCAGTGCCGACGAGGCTCGCGACCTGCCCAATTGCAAAGTGCAAAGCCTTCCCACCACGGCATAATGTCGGTAGAACACAAACTGCCAAAGCCACAATGTGGTCGGATCGAACCCCGACCGCATCCACCGGCGACGACGGGGAAGGGTTGCCATGGCAAAGCAAACCATCAAGCGTCAAGTATCGAGCATCGAGCGTCGAGACTGGCTCTGCGTGTCTAGCACAGAGTAAATTAAATAGGCTTTGTGCCCACACTGACACCGAGATGAGCGGCTACGTTGTGCACATGCCTACGTGTGGGGTAACCTTTGCCGCAAAGGGCGGCTGGGAGCCGGGCCCGATCTCGAGGAGGTGCGGGGTAGTCCGCATGACCGCCGCGCTCATCTCAGCCACCTCTCGACGAGTGACCGGCGAGGAGCAAGCGGGGACACATCGGTCGTCGGTGCCAAGTTTCGCCGTCAATTCCACCCGTCTTTACCACCGACCACACTGCTGTTCTGCAGCCGACGCGTCTGGGACCCCACCCTGACTCTGCCAACAATGGCGTTCCCGCGTTGGCATCTCTGCAGCCCCACCGGTCAACTCCTTCCATCCGCTACTGTCCAATACAAAAACTGTGGGGATGAATACAGCCGCACACACTTGGAAGGCCTGGGCCGTCGGGCGGCTCGCTTCCCTCTGGACCAATCACAATTCATCTCGCCCTTGGTGACATGCAGGCACCCTTGATCTTGTCCAATGGTTCTGCCGTCGGAATCCAAAGTTCGGTGGAACGACACATGCTGCCGCCCAAATGTTGCACAGTGGCACTGTGAGTGTGCGGGGAGTGAGGGGTTCTCCCCCGCGTTTCCGCCCACGCGGCGAGCCGGATCTTTTTCGTTTTTATCGAATTTCAACGGCTCCAGTGCCTCAGAGGCGCGCCCGCGGCACAAGTGGACGCGAAGCGATGCGGTGCTCATCCGAGACGTGTGGGGCGCGGTACTGCAGCACACCGGCCGCCGCCTCAGTCAGTTGCTTCCCCCCCGCGCTTGCGCTCGCGCTCGCTAACCACAAAATACCGTCACAGGATGCATCTTGCCACCGAGCAGCAGCAGTTGTTGGGCATGCATACCAGCCATGACCGGCCAATCATGCACTTCGCTTGCCAACACGTCGTACTATACTCGATGTGGGGAAAGCCGCATGGCCATGGCCAAAGTTTTGTGGGGTCCCGCGCTCCTCCCCGACCGCCGCCTCGTGTCTTTGTCCTCGGTCGAGATGCACTAACTTATCGACTCGTACCAAGCGCAGACCAGGCGATAGATCGTCCGTCAGGTGCAGTTCCGCTGTATGTGCCTGTCTCGCTTCCTGATCCAGCATGCGTCGCACCACCTGCTCCTCCGTAATGACATGCATGTGCTCGAGCCTATAAAGTCTACGCCCTTCGCGTGCCACTTCGTCCTGAACCTGCACACCTCCCTCCCCTTCCCCTACATCCACCTTCCCCAAGACCAGCTCAGACACCACTCCGTGCCTGTAGTCGTAGAGCCATGGGTCGCTTCAACAAGAACAACGGCCCCGCCGCCGATCGCGCCGTCACGGCCGACACGCTCAGCAAGAGCCAACTCTACTTCAGCTTCGCGCTCGTCTCGTCCCTCTTCTTCGTGTGGGGTCTGTCGTACGGTCTGCTCGACTCGCTCAACAAGACTTTCCAGGACTCGCTCCACCTCACAAAGGCTCAGTCCACCGGACTCCAGGCATGCTACTTCGGCGCCTACCTCATCAACGGTCCCATCTCCGGTCCTCTCGCAAGGAAGTACGGCTACCCCTTCTCCATCCACGGCGGTCTCGGTCTCTTCTCCCTCGGCGCCATCATGTTCTGGCCTTGCGCTGTCTACTATTCCTACCCAGGTTTCCTCGTCTGCACTTTCGTTACTGCTTCCGGTCTCGCATGGCTCGAGATGGCCGCCAACTCCTACATCACCGTTCTCGGTGCCCCTGACATGGCCGCCTTCCGTCTGGTGTTTGCTCAGTCCTGGAACGGTGTCGCCTCCGTCCTTGGCCCCATCATTGCCGGTCGCACTTTCCTCAAGACTGGTCAGTCGCACACCCTCAACCACCTCCAGTGGGTCTACCTCGGTATCTCGCTCTTCGGTTGCGTCATCAACCTCCTCTTCTTCGTCGCTAAGCTCCCCGAGGTCAAGCAGGAGGTCGACGCCGCCATCGATGCCAAGCCCGTCTCGATCTGGACTCAGAAGCACCTCATCTTCGGTGCTTTCGCAGAGTTTATGTATGTGGGCAGCCAAGTGGCTGTTGCGTCCCTCACGATCAACTACTACGTCGAGCAGCCCGGTCTCAACATCACCGTGGGCCGAGCAGCAGATCTCTTCTCGGTCACACTGGCTGTTTTCACGATCGCGCGCTTCCTCGGAGTTCCCATTCTTGCAAAGGTCGACTCGGCTCTGATGCTCTTCATCTTCGGAATCGGCTCGGCAGTCATGTCGATCCTGGCCGCAGTTGTTCCTGGAGCCGGAGGCATCGCATGTGTGATGCTCATCTTTTTCTTCGAGTCCATCTGCTACCCGATCATTTTCACTCTCGCGACCTCGAACCTTGGCGCCAACCAGAAGCTCGGAAGTGCTCTCGTCGCCGCTGGTGTCTCGGGAGGTGCTTGGTACCCTAGCGTTCAGGCCACCGTGGCCGACAAGACCAGTACCCGCAAGTCCTTCTTCGTGCCTATCGTCGGCTTCGCTGTCGTGGCCTGGTACGGACTCTACATGCACATGCGCGGCTGCAAGCAGCAGGGCTACTGGAGCTGGCGTAAGCTCGACAAGCAGACCGCCATGGCTGTCACTGCTGCCCACCGCTCCGACTCGGACATCGAGCAGGACAGCTCCGAGAAGGATGTCAAGGTGTCCACTCCCACGTACGCCTCCGTTCCCTACCAGCAGTAAGCGTGCGCTTTCACAGACAACCCCCTCCCTTCTTTCTCTGTAGTCTAGCTCCACTCCGGCTCTCACAGTCATCACATTTGCTTCCGCATCGTCCCAGTGCGCTTTCCGCTCGAGAGACTCAAAGTTTGATCGAGCGCGGCTTTCTGAAGGATATCCGCAGTTGGTCGAATGCGGCTTTTTTTATTGTTATCCGCAGTCGAGCGACTGGCCCGTAAATTCCCTTTAAGCTCGCGCTTCCGCACTCTCCTCCGCTCACTCACGGCGCAAGGAAGTACACACTCACAAACTCAAACTCGTACTGTACCCCGACTCAAACTGCCTTGACTCCAAGTGTGTTTTGCAGGCAGTGTTGGAGCGTGGCATCCTCCGCGGAAGAGCAACAGACGCCTGCAGCGTCGGTCGCTGTGAATATGCTGGGGTCGAGGGGCGGTCCGTACACCATCATGCGTACCCTTGCGGCAGCGTGAGCGAGGCGAGCATCTTGCCCGACGTGCTGGAAGCCACCACGCCTGCGCAGGTTGCCGGGGACTGCAAGGGCAGTGCGTACCTGGCTTCCTTACTGGGATGGAGTGTGGCGCGAGGCACCTAGACCGTCCGGGCCGCTCCTGACGGCCCGGGTCCTCTCCTACCCGCCCCTTCCGCTCTCTCGCCGATCACTGCGCCCATCGAGGTCGTACACGCTCAGCCGTTATGCTCGCGATCGACGTCAGGCAGGGCGATGCAGTCCAAGTTTGATGCGAGAGGTTGAGGCAAGCCACTAAGTTAAACGATGCATTTTGTCTACGCGAAACCCTAACTGAACGCGAAATCCTAACTGAATGCGAAATCCGCACTGAATTCTCCTCTCATGCCAGAATGCGGCTGACGAGCTTCTTGGGGTTCTTGTACCATGGCTTCTTGGCGGGAGCATCACCATCAACCACGTCTGTGGGCCCTTCAAAGTCCGAGATCAGGCGACGGCCCGAGTCAAGATCGATGTCGTCCAGGGCAACACTGTGTTGTGCAGCGAGAATAAGGATGAAGATGTCAATGTCCAGTCAGCATGAAGGAAGGTGAAAGCATGGGCGAGGAGAGTGATACGCACATTCGAGTCCTGTGGATGATCTTCCAGCCAAAGTATAGGATGACGGCGACGGGGATGACGATGTAGGCGACGATGATGTCGGCGGCCTTTCTTGGGTTGAGGAAGGTGGTGTAACCCTGGAAGAACATAAGAACGATGTTGAGCACGAACGTGACCCAAGTTCCGTAGGGCGCGAGCCATGCACGGAAGGGAAGCTCGTCGAGCGAGCGTCCCTGACGCTGCCATGCGGCACGGAAGCGGATGTGGCAAAGGCAGATGATGGCAAAGATGATGAACGTGCTGACACCGGAGATGTTGATGATGTACGAGAACACGGTCGAAGCGCCGGCGTTGATCGAGAGCAGCGAAATGAGCGCGACAAGGTTGGAGAGCACGAGCGCAGGGATGGGAACCTTGCCCTTGGGTGTGGTCCATCCGAAGATCTTGGGTGCCCTGCCAGTAGCACCGAGCGACTGCAAGGTACGCGAGGCAATGTAGAGCGAAGAGTTGCCCGCCGAGATGACCGAGAGGATGATGAGCGCGTTGATCAAGCTCGCGGCCGCTCCGATGCCGCCGTTCTTGAGCGCAATGGTGAGCGGGGAGGCGGCGGCCTTGCTCTTGGCGCTGACGAGCTGCGTGTCATTGGAAGGCACGTTAAGCGAGATGAAGAAGATCGTTCCGAGGTACAGCACCAAGATTCGGTAAAAGACGGAGCGAATAGCCAGTGGCACGGCTCGGGCGGGATTCTTGGCCTCGGCTGCGGCGATGCTGACACTCTCGACACCGGCGTAGAGGGTGGCGGAAACGACGAGAATCTTGGCAATACCGTTGAGGGCGTCGATACCCGTGCCATTGAAAGGGCCGGGGTCCCTAAAGTAACGGAAGCCGATGTAGCCCTGGTCGCCGCCTGCGCCACCGACGTTGATGACGATGCTGAGGATGAAGAAGATGACGATGCCGATAACCTTGATGGTGGCGAGGATGAACTCGACCTCGCCGTATGCCAGGACGCCGAGCATGGAGAGACCCATGAAGAGAACCCAGAAGATGGCTATCCATGCGCCGGTGGGGACGACGCGTGCTCCGTCCCAGTAGCGGATGACGATGGCGACGGCATTGTACTCGTTGGAGAGCACCGAGATCCAGAGCTCCCAGTAGATCCAGCCGGCGACGAAACCGAGCGCGGGATCGACCCAGCGGCCAGCGTATTCGACGAAGGAGCCGCGGATGGCAAAGAGCGTTGCCATCTCTCCGAGCGCTTGCAGAACGAAATAGACGATGGCACCCGTAACGGCGAATGCAATGAGCGCGCCAACCGGGCCGGCATTGGCGAGTGCCGAGCCCGATCCGACTAGAAGACCGGGTCCGATAACTGTGAGGTGATTGCAGAGAAAAGTGAGTACGTAGTCATCGTCGGCGGGCTGAGTGCTGTGGGCGGGCGATTCGGTACTTACTGCCTCCGATCGAGATCATGACCATGTGGCGAGTCTTGAGCGCTCTCCTGAGCTCTTCGGGCGGTTCATTTGAGTCGGTCGAGGGTGCGGTCGAGCGGGTCTTTTCGACATCTTCCGCATCGGGCGAGGAGGGATGCGACGACGGCATCTCCTTGAATGCGGAGCCGGTCTGCACCGTCTCTGTTGCAATGTGGTCGTTGCCGCCGTGTGCGGCGTTTGGTATGGACATGTTACCAGTCGTCCAGTGTTTTGCGAGTTGTTGCGGTCGGGACGGTGGTGGTGGATGGAAAGACCTCCGTGTCCTTCGACTCGGCAAAGAAAAGGGGGGGGGGGTGACAAGATGTGTGGGAGAGCAGGTGGCGACCCACTCGTAATGTTGAGAGGATCGGCGTCAAGCTGCAGCGGGGCAGCTGTCAAAGCGAGCGAGAAAAGTGGTTTTCAGTGTCAGTCGATGCCAAGACCCGCGGGTCTTGCTGCCGTTCCGCCGAGTGCGGTGAAAGCGAAGCGAGGCGGCGAATACGGTCACGATGCGGTGCGCTTTCCGGTGTGTTGAGATCAGGGAGTCTGAAATTCATCCACCGACGCATCTCGTGCAGGCAAACGGAACCCTTGCGTGCTCCGACCATATTGGCACGCGAGCTGGCTCAGGCTTCTGCCTCGTGGCCGCCCAAGTTAGCACATGTCCGTCCCAGCAGTCCGTCGTGCTCAACCTTAACTGCACGGTGCCATGCTCGCGTACCTGTGCGTGTTCCTGACGCCCACTTTGCTTTCCCTACTGCCATGGAACCAGGCGCCGCTCGACCGGAAGGATGCTCGTGGGCCCCAAAATGGAGCGTAGGCGGGCGGAGGCTGCTGGTCTTTGACAATGGGCGGCGCGATGGCGTGACGATCGGGTCGCCTGGCTCGTGACTTGACCGATGCCTCGATCCGGCCCACAACCGGCGCCGTTCACCGAGCTGTCAAGAAAGTCGAGCGGAGTGAAGTAAAATTTGGAAAAAAAAGGCCGAAAGAAGACCCACCGAAAAAAGGCACCAAATTGACAGACATACTCGTGCGATAGAGTCGCAACACAGACCAAGAAGATATGGCGCTCCGAGTCACTAGCCAGCGCGGCCTACTGATTGGATGCTGGCCTGCGAGTCTCGACAGGATCAAGCAGGCTGGCCGTGCGGGGCGGGGCAATCACGCACCGTTTTTCCATTCAATCAGGTGGGGGCGAGCGAGAAGATCCGCAACCCAGAGTAGCCTCGGGAGCCCAACGCCAGAAGCGAGCCAGCTTCGCATGAGCTTCTTCCATTCCCGCCACCGCTTCTTACACACACAGCTGTCGCCAGGATGTTCTCCAGAGGCGCTGCTTCCATGCTGAGGGCGGCATCGTCGTCGGCATCGCAGCCGATGGCGCGCCTGCCTGCCAGCACCACGGCCGTCCGCCATCTGTCATCATCGATCAAGGCCGCGCTGCCCAACTCGACCGACAAGCGTGAGCAGCCGCAGCAGGGCCAGCAGCAGCCGCTCGAGTCCGACTCGACGTCGGCGCTCGACTACAAGCTCGCACACAAGCTGCGCAAGCTGCCGCCGCTGCCGTCGCTCGAGCCTCCTTCGCTCGACGCACCACAGGCGGTGTCCAACATCCTGTACAACACGCCGCCGCCGTCCAAGGCGCCCTTCAAGCGTCACACGCTCAACTGCCTCGTCCAGAACGAGCCCGGTGTGCTGTCGCGCGTCGCCGGAACCCTCGCCGCAAGAGGCTTCAACATCGACTCGCTCGTCGTGTGCGGCACCGAGATCCGCGATCTGTCGCGCATGTGCATCGTGCTGCGTGGCCAGGACGGCGTGATCGAGCAGGCCCGCAGGCAGCTCGAGGACCTCGTCCCCGTCTGGGCCGTGCTCGACTACACCAACACCAAGGTCATCGAGCGCGAGCTCATGCTCGTCAAGGTCTCCATCCTCGGCCCCGAGTACTTTGAAGAGTCCCAACAGGCCTCCAGCCCCGCAAACACGCCCGAGCTCATCGCAGAACGAGAGACTGATGCCGGCAAGTCTGCTTCCACCTCGTCCTCCTCGGGAGCAGCTCAGCAGGCGCAGCAGGCCATGACGCCGCTCACGCCAACCGAGGCGCTCCGTGTCAAGTCGGACAACATGCGCTCCGTCATCGCATTCGCCGAGCAGTTCCGCGGCCGCGTCGTCGACGTCTCGTCTACAAGCGTCATCGTTGAGATGTCCGGCAAGAGCAGCCGATGCGACGCCTTCCTCAAGCTCGTCCGTCCCTTTGGTATCCTCGAGTGCGCGCGTTCCGGTACCATGGTCCTGCCCCGCTCGCCCATCCCTTCGTCCTACGCCGGTGCCGAAGACCTCACCGAGGAGGAGGTCGAGGCCATCGACGCCGGTGCTCTGCCCCCTGGCTAAAGCACTGACCAGCTCGCCCGATCCCCTCAAACCCCAACCGCACCATGCCGCACTTCTCAAACCATCAGGAACACTTTGGGCGAACGTGCCCACAGCCTGCGCAACAGCGAATCGCGTGACGACAAAGAGACTGCGTAAATGAGAGATAGCATTGCGATCAAGTCGAGCTAGGTGATATGAGACTACGAGTGCGGCTGATTCATAGGCGGGACGGCAGACGACAAGACGCGGATGGAGCTAGTATACAAGAGGCTGCATCAGACAGGCAGGAGCGAAGGGGACAAGTGAGCAGCACTCGAAAGGTCGGAGGAAAGATGCGGGGAGGACTGAATGCGAGGGACGACAGACTTAGACGGAGCGGACAAAGGACGACAGATACAGCTGGCTACGAGAACACAACAGAGCGATGACGAGATGCAATCACCATTCGTCCATCATCATCTCGTTGATGCCGCCAGCTGCTGCCTGCGCCTGCGCGCGCGCAGCCTCGCAATCGCCTTCGACATGCTCCCACAGCGGCTTACCGCCGGCATGCTGCTGAGCAAAGTATCGGTGGGCGGGGGTTCCATTGCCATCGTCCGAGGGCGACGGAGTGGGCGGGAATTCGAGACCCATAGGGTAGCGCATCTGCGCCGGAGGCGAGCGAGGCACCTCGTTCTGATTCGACTCGATGACCATCTGCACGTCGGCATTGCCTTCGAGCAGATGCAGCTCGTCCGACTTGATGAACGTGTAGCCATAAGAGGTGACCACCTTGAGCCAGTGCGGGTTGTTGCTCGTGAAGACGGACGAGGGAGCAGCCTCAGCACCCTTGCCCTTGTTCGAGGTGGCGGAGGAATGTGTGAAGATGTCGCGCTGCAAGTTCTGCTGCTGGGGTGCGCTCAGATCATCAAGGGTGATGTCGGACGAGCTCGCAAAGGGATCCTGCGCGAACTCGGACATCGAGCGCACAGGCATGGGAGGATGGACCGGAGCCTGCTGCTGGAACTGCAACGACGCCGCGGATCGCGAGCCTCGCAGCGGCATGGTTGGGCGGGCACGCTTGCCCGAGAGCGGCGACGTCTCTGCGGTCTCTTCGCCTTCCATCCTGCGCTTAGGCGTAGGCGAAGAGCCGCCCGCCATGGTGTTGAGGTACGAAGTCTTGACGGCTGGAGAGAGCAACATGGTCACGAAGAACACAGAGGCTGACAACGACGTCGGTGGGATGTGGAGGAGATGGAAGCCGTGGGCGAGGTGATGGGAATGCGGATGTGAGGATGCGAAGTACGAGTGGCCGGCACTTGTAGAGCAAAAAGACAGGAGGGAGGCAGAGTCGATGCGTGTAGAAGCGTCAAGTGCGGGGGGAGAGCTGGGCTGGCTTTGGAGCTTAGAATGGGAAGAGTTGATGGTCGGAAGGATGGAGCTTCCGGCGCCCGCCTCTGGCTCGCGTTCGTTCCCAGATCGGAAGACGGGAATGCAAGGAGATCCCTCGACAGCTTCTCCATCCGCTCCGCTCCCACGGCCTCAGCGCTGAGGCGAGCGCTGAGGCGAGCGCTGAGGCGAGCGTCGAGCCGCCCATTTTGCCGAGGTCGCCTGGCCGTGCTCTGTCGGTCGAGCCGCGTCCATCAATTTCCGGCAAAAGTTTGTGAAATTTCGCGGCAGGTCCGCACTCTGATTTTTCTCATGACTGGCGCGAGCCGCAGAGGGCCGCGGTAGAAAGTGGATGAATCTGCGGACCGCCTCGACGCGGCGGTGGAGGGTTCCAAATTTACGCGTTGCCGAAACGGGAAAATGCCGCTCAGCAGCAGAAGAAAATGCGGAGGCTTCGCAGCAAGCCTTGCCACCGCGAAATGGCGGCGCGACGCGACCACACGACCATGGCTTACGCTCAAATTACTCACACTATCGTGCGTTTGAGGCCTTGGTGCAATTTCGTACGAGTCCGGCAATTCTAGTGTGGTGCTCACAATGATGTAACAAAGGAAAGATCGTCGATCGGGCTCGTTCATCTGCGATCCATCTCATGTTCTGGACCCGGCGGACGGACCTCCACGCGAGCTGCCGAGCGTGCGCGACCCGCCTCGAATGGTTCCAAAAATTGCAGCAGCACAGCGCCTTTTGCTTCGAACGGGCGTACATTGCATGGCATCAGGAGTTCTGGCTGCACGAATCAGTCAGCCAAGTGATGCGTGCAGCCAAGAGGCTCATCAATGCGCATGGCAAGACCCTGGCTTCTCGTCGCCGTCTCCTTCCTTCTCCCGTCTCGCAGATGAGCATCGCATCCTACACCACAGCCGGCTCATATGGACGGTGATTCCCATCCTACGGGTGGCTCGGGCTCGGGCTCGGCGCCAGCTGTCATGGCGCCTCCCGACGGTCCGCCACCACCGCATCCCTCGGCGCCCGACACTCCCATGAGCGCGCCCACACCCCTGCAGGCGCCGTCGGCAACCTCGAGCGCTGCGGCTTCTCGCAAGAGCAGTCTTCGCTCCAATGCGCCACCTTCGTCCTCCGCATCAACGACTCGAATCCGCAAGGGTCTTCTGTCCAGAGCAGGAAGCGAGGCGGAGGACAGGTCCTCACGGGCTGTATCGGCGGCTCATAATCAACTCACCACCGACGACGACGATGACGAGCTCATGATCAGCGACTCGGGCCCCATGCCTCGTCGCTTTGCCTCCCAGAATCGCGGTCCCATGCAGACCGCCAACAGCTCTCGCCAGTCGTCCCAGTCGTCTTTGCCCCTCTCTTCGTGGGGCTCTACAGCTCTTGCATCCAGTTCGCACAGAAGTGCCGCCGCTGCACCACCACATTCGCCTTCGCATCCCAGCTCCTCCTCCAGCA